GAACCTTCTTCTCACATCGTGGCGCACTCGACACGCTCAGTGTCCACGTCCCAAGCCTTCCTTCGAGGAGTCCCATTGGACCAAATTTGCAGAGCAGCTACGTGGTCTACTCCCTCCACGTTTGCCTCTCACTACAAGTTGGACATACAAGCAAAGAAGGACGCCGCATTTGGTAGAGCTGTCCTTTTCTCCTGTGTGGCATGACCCGCCTCCAGGTCAGTAGCTTGCTATTCACCCATAGGTGTGGATTTCGCAGAGGACACGAAGAATAAATTTAGGTTGCTTACCTGTAACCGTATTTCTTCGAGTGTCCATCTGCGAAATTCACACAACCCGCCCGTCCTCCCCTCTGTCATGCCTCTGAACCTAGCTGCGATTAGCGCTGGGGAACTAGAGTGCGCCCGCACGCGGCGGGATATATATACCGAGGGGGCGGGGTGGGGGGTGGGTGGGCGGAGCTTCAAAATATTCATTTTTATTTCATTAAACTCAGAATGTTCCGGATTTCTGCGCATGCGTGAGAGGAAACCCATAGGTGTGAATTTCGCAGATGGACACTCGAAGAAATATGGTTACAGGTAAGCAACCTAAATTTCTCAGCCTGCCGCGATTCCTTAATACAGTTCCTCATGTTGTGGTGACCCCCAACCATAAAATTATTTTTGTTGCTGCTTCACAACTGTTATGAATTGTAATGTAAATATCTAATATGCAGGATGTACTTTCATTCACGGGACCAAATTTGGCACAAATGCCCAATATGCCCAAATTTGAATCTGATGGTGTTTGGGGAGGGGTTGATTTTGTTGTTTGGGAGTTGTAGTTTCTGTGATTTATAGGAAACCTACAATCAAAGAGCATTCTGAACTCCACCAACAATAGCATTGAACCAAACTTGGCTCACAGAACTCCCATGACCAACAGAAAATATTGGAAGGGTTTGGTGGGCATTGATCTTGAGTTTTGGAGTTGTAGTTCACCTACATCCAGAGAGCACTGTGGACTCAAACAATGATGGATCTGGACCAAACTTGGCACAAATACTCAATATGCCCAAATGTGAACACTGGTGGAGTTTTGGGAAAATAGACCTTGACATTTGGGAGTTGTAGTTGCTGGGATTTATAGTTCACCTACAATCAAAGAGCAATTTGAACCCCACCAATGATAGAATTGGGCCAAACTTCCCACACAGAATCCCATGACCAACAGAAAATACTGTGTTTTCTGATGGTCTTTGGTGACCCCTCTGACCCCCCCCTCATGACCCCCCCCAGGGGTCCTGACCCCCAGGTTGAGAAAAGCTGCTCTATAATATATTTGTAAAATAGCAACTGGTTTCTATCTGTGTATCCCATGGCTGCTAGCAGTGTTCCCACATCTTTCTTTTTCGCCTTCTGTACATGACTCTTATACCTCACTTCTTTTATATTTCCTATTACAAGGCCATATCTCAATTGTCACCTTATTATCTTGTGTTGATTTACACGTTCCATTCTATAATTAGCATGAAGCCTGACCAAAATCAACTTTGCCTGAACTGTCAGTCTTTTAGCCTCACTAATTTTGAACTTTTTTGTGGTTGTGATGAATATTTGAACATTTTTGTGGTTGGTGCTGAATTATTGTCATTTCTCCCATTTAGTCAGCTGTAAAGCCACACAGAAGTCCGTATCATGATTAAAGTCTATTATTGGTTTTTTTGAAACATATTTCTTGTATTCTTCTTTATTTTGTTAACTTGACTCAAATGACCTGCTTCTCCTTTGAGGTTTATCAATAGGAACAGCTTGTTCCATATACTCACCTGAGACAAAATTACCCATTGGAAACACTAGTACTAGAAATGTAAACTGGTATTAAATCTGTACATTCCCATATCGCACCAGCCATTACACAAATGTGTGAGTGACATCAGTCTGCCAATGAGATCATCTGGCCCTGAAATTCCACCAAACCAACTCAAACAGGATTTAATACTTTTTGGCATGAAATAGCAACTGTATTAGATATCTTTTGCTATAAATACAATTTTCCATTCATTGTAGTGATTTGTAACATTTTGGTAGTTTTAATCTGTACATAATATTCTACTCCTAGCCAACAATATACTGCCATCAATAGCTCATTTTTCATATTTTGATTTTGATTTGTTACCTTGTGGAAGCAAACTCAACAATTGTAGGGCAACACATATTTAAAACAATACATAACAACCTCATCCAAACAGCCTAAAATAGAAAAAAACTGGGAGACGATCACCGATAAATTATTTCCTTTGTTAATTTTTTCAACTCATTTAGTACAACCTTTGCTTTTTAAAATCCATGCAATCTATCCATTTAAAATGTTTATGTACATGTATATGAAAGTCACCATTTCAGGAAGATCCAGATACCACAGATATTCTGGTCATTGCAGAAAGAACACTAACCTATGTCCATCCATTTAGAGTAGGCATTAGGCCGTACCTCCTGCCTGCCCTAGTTATAATTTTTCCACTCCCACAGGATGCTTTTAATATTTACATGTTGATAGGTGAATCAGGCCCTCCGGTGGCACAATGGGTTAAACCGCTGAGCTGCTGAACTTGCTCAATAAAAGGTCAGCAGTTCAAATCCAGGAAGCAGGGCGAGCTCCGACTGTTAGCCCTAGGTTCTGCCAACCTAGCAGTTTGAAAACATGCAAATGTGAGTAGATCAATTGGTACCGCTTCTGCAGGAAAGTAATGGCACTCCATGTAGTCATGTTGGCCACATGATCTGGGAGGTGTCTACTGACAATGCCGGCTCTTCGGCTTAGAAAAGGAGATGAGCACCACTGCACAGAGTTGGATACGACTAAACTTAATGTCAAGGGGAAATCTTTACCTTACCTTAGGTGAATCACTTTACTGTATATCACACGGTTATGTCAGAATGAAAGAAATTTGTGTCAACAATTCTTGTCATACAGATGCAAAATGCTGGAAACATGGTCGTTGACATGGATTTGTAATAATAATAATAACAACAACAACAACAACAACAACAACAACAACAACAACAACTTCCGAATTCAGACAGACAGAGTTCTGGAGCACAATACTCCTGACCTCACAATTGTGTTAAAAAACAAAGTATGGATTGTCGATGTTGCAATCCCAGGTGACAGCAGGATTGAAGAGAAACAACTGGAAAAGCTGACACAATATGAGGATTTAAAGATCGAACTGCAAAGACTCTGGCACAAGCCAGTCAAGGTGGTCTAGGTGGTGAGACCACCTAATGATTCTTAGGCTGCTTTTACACTGCCCTATGTCCAAAGATGTGATCCCAGATTATATGCTTTAAACTGAATTTTATGAGTCTCCAGATAATCCCGGATAAACAGATAATCTGGGATCAGATCCTGGAATATAAGGGCAGTGCAGAAGAGAGATGTTTAGAGGCAAAAAACAATATATATATATATGTGTGTGTGTGTGTGTGTGGTTTTTCCACTTTTGTGGTGGTCCTTCATGTGAATGAAGGAGGTTAATTGTATAGTGAGGAATACTCAACCAGTACACAAACCCATCAAGGCTGCTCAAATAACTATAAGTGGCTTTCAGAAAAGATTTAGATCATGTGTCAAGTTGGATTGAATCCAGTTTGCAACGTCATTTTATGTGACCTGTGGCTTTCAATGCTTTTTCATAGTTACATTTATACAGTCTTACAATGATAATTGGTCATTTGAAGGCAACCATAAGGCTGATATGGCCCTTGGTGAAAAGGAGTTTGACACATCTGATTTAGATCATATACTCTGGCATAATAAACTTATGAGGTGAGATCCATTTCAGCTATAGCACTATAATCATAGCAATGAAATTATAGAAACAGTATGCTTTGGAATGGGGATTAATCAAACTGTAGTCATGATGCTTACAGTGCCACAGCCACAAGAGCTCTGAGGTCCAATTTTACCATCTGAGGTAATCATGGATACTTATACAGAATCAATTGGGCAAGAACGTGCATCATTTTACTAAGTACTTTATCTGGAGACAGAGTCTGATAATTGCACTCACCTGTGGTTTTAGTCAGAAATGCCAAAAGGTGTCCTAGATGAGAAGGGGTGTATGCCTACCAACATTAGACTTCTGGCAGTGGAGACTCATAAAATCCAGTTTAAAGCAGATAATCTGGGATCAGAGGAACATGCAATGTAGTTGGAAGCAACAGCAAGGACCATCCTGTGAATTCCCTGATATGCATGAAAACACAATCAAAGCACTCCTAACAGATGCCCATCCAGTCTCTGCTTAAAAACTTCTAGAGATGACTCCACCGCACTCCAAGGCAACATATTCCATTGTCAAACAGCTCTTATCATCAGAAAGTTATTCCTAATGTTTAGATGGAACCCCTTCCTGTAGTTTGCATCCATTGCTGTATGGCCCCTTCCACACAGCTGAATAAAATCCCACATTTTCTGCTTTGAACTGGAATATATGGCAGTGTGGACTGAGAAAACCCAGTTCAAAGCAGATACTGTGGGATTTTCTGTCTTGATATTCTGGATTATATGGCTGTGTGGGAGGGCCCTAAGTCAGTCTCTGAAACAGGATAGAAAAACTTCCTCTGATAATATGATATACTTTCACTTAGGCCCCTTCCACACAGCTGAATAAAATCCCACATTATCTGCTTTGAACTGCAATATAGGGCAGTGTGGACTCAGATAACCCAGTTCAAAGCAGAAATTGTGGGATTTTCTGCCTTGATATTCTGAGTTATATTTATTTATTTATTCATTCATTCATTTATTTATTTATGACATTTATATGGCGGTGTGGAAGGGCCCATATTTAAACATGACTATCATGTTTAAATATTAAAAACTCAAGCTTCCCTCCTCCAGGCTAAACATATCCAGCTCCCCCCCCCCCCCCCCCGATCTGAAAGGTTTTGCCCTTCAAAAGCTTCCGAAACAAATTAAATTCCTAGCATCAACTCATTACATTTTCTTCCTAGATTTGGAAATCACTGTACCAGCTGGACATACCCAAAATATCCCCAGTAAACCAGAATGTGCTGTATATGAATTTAGCCCTCGGAAAAATTTCATCCCACCAAGTAAAGGGATAAAGCGAGGGGACTGGAAAACAGAAAGTACATCAAGCACTGCAAGTAAGTAAGAAAACTATATGTATTTACTATACCTGGATTGATCTATCTGTTAAATCTGATATTATGTGATTCAGAATTACAGAACAGTTGGAATGGGCCCAAAGCATTCCCAAGAGATGCCCAGTCTCTTTCTGAAAACCTATAGGAAAGGAAACCCCACCACTTCTCCATTGCTCAACTGCTCTTACTATCAAGGAGTTCCTTCTAAGATTCAGTTGAAATCTACTCTTTTGTAACTTCAAAACCATTAAACCAAATCCCAGTGGGTTCAAATTGCAGGAGAGAAGATTCCACCTGAACATTAGGAAGAATCTATTGACCATGAGAGCTGTTCAGCAGTAGAATTATCTGCCCCGAAGTGTGGTGGAGATTCCTCCTTTGGAGGCTTTTAAACAGAGGCTGGGTGGCCATCTGTCAGGGGTGCTTTGATTGTGCTTTTCCTGCATGGCAGGGGTTAGACTGAAGGGTCCTTATGGTCTCTTCCAACTCTGTGAATCTATGATTCTATCTTCTGGTGCAGAAGAAAACAAATCTGTCCCCTCTTCCTTGAGACTGCCTTTAAATAATCAAATCACCTCCCAATTTTCAGTAGACTGAACATGCACAATTCCTACATTCTCAAACACATTTTTTAAAGTCTGGCAAAATGTGGTGCTGTGCATGCTGTAAAACAATGGGCTTTTCACTGGAAGACCTTCTGATTTAAAAGCTGTCTTTGGGTCCTGGTGATGGGGACTGGCAGACAGATTCTCAAAAGAAAAATGAATTTGTGGGTTGTTTTTTTTCTAAAATGTTTGAGGATCCCAAATGATAGTTGACTTGTGTTCTTTTCTTGCCAGGTAGTTCAAGTAACCGCTCCAGTACACGAAGTATACTGAGTGTCAGTAGTGGGATGGATGGAGACAATGAGGTAACTTTCCCATTCTGCACTTTTTCTGGCTTGCAAAGTTTGACAGCATTTTGCATGGGTTCACTGCTAAAAGACTACTATTTTGAATTGGTTCCATATAATATATAGCTAGTATGTGCTATACTGTGCACTTTGAATCTGATAAGTCAATGCAATTTTCTTCCCTGTTGTTTAGGTTTAGAAAAAACTGGTTCAAGAAAAAATATTATTCAAGAAAATAGATTAAAAATGGACTGTTTTGGCAGAATCTCACTTCCACATTTATACCTTAATGTAGGATAATGAATTCCCAGAGGTGAAAAGAAATGTCCTCCCTGGGGCTCAGCAAGCCGACAGGCAATCCTCCTTGGCACCTGGAAGGCCTCCAAGAATACCTCCTCGAGTTGCTAGCAGGTATATTACTGTTGTTACTGTTATTAGTAGTAGCATTGCTATAATCATCACATCACCATTATCATAATCCCATTGAACTGGTATCTACTCCAAGGAGCTTACAATAGATACAAGTAAACAACAAAGGAAGCGGGGACAGAAATGGAAAATGTTATGGAGCTATTTCAATTGCGCGGGTTTTGGGTTAGTTACAGGGTAAATTGTGGTATGTCAAACCTTCACAAATATTGGAAAGTAAGCATACAGTTTTAGAAAAGCATGACCTTTTAGAGAAGAGTCAAAATCCCATTTGAGTAGAATCTTCTCAAGTGGTATACAACCAAATGTAATTATGTAAAGCAATTGGCTTCAGTTGATAGTTCTAAATATCAGTTCTTTAGAATTGTTTTTAGTGCCCAAAAATATATCTACTCTCTCATAAAACAACTTGTTTTATATTATGCACTCATGAGGTAAAATATACTTTGATAAAAAGATAACACATTTGGTTTACTCACAACCTTCATGTGTTCAACATACACAGGTACACAACTTATCAGTCACTTACAGATATGTTTGAGATAATTTCTCTGCCATCCTGTCAGAACATCTCTCTTACAATAAACAGCAGGCAAGTGTTTGCAAACCTGCAATCTGAGCAGTCCCAAAATCTAAAGAAGTCTGTGTTCTGTGTTCGTCTCAGAGCGGATCACATGGTCTGCAGCACCTTCCACAGCTTCTCAGGAAAACATAGAGCAAGGAAAGAAAGCTGCATATCAGAACATACATATAATAAGCAACAGGATTATAGATAAACAAATTACTAGAGGATGCTTGGTTGCAATTTCCAACATACAGACTATCATACAGAGACATTATTGGCTTTCTGTAACTGACGCATGAGGATAGACATACATGACTTGATTCATGTTAAGTATTTACAAGAGGTCCCCCTCAGTGAGGTTGCACTGTATATTTAAAACAAGAGACATAGGTGTTAAAGACAAAACTGAATAAAATTTATTTTATACCCAAACATATGACAGGACAAATTGGTTATATTAATTCAGATTAATTTTAGATAGGCTAGCCCAAATTAAGTTTAGTGGCATATTAGGTTAATTGTGGTTGCCATGGATTTAAAGCAGGCATATGCAAACTTTGATCCAGGTATTTTGGACTTCAGCTCCCATAATTCCTCAGAGCTTACTGGCTGTTGGAAATTGTGGGCATTGAAGTCCAACACACCTGGAGGACCGAAGTTTACCCATGCCTGATGTAGAGACTGGAATATAGTGAGCAATTTTAACAATAGTGACCTGGGATTTTACAATGTGCTGGGATGAATAGAGATGCTAGAGAAAAAATGGAAAGCATGAGAAAGATTACATTGGGAAGATTTACCTGTTCCGGAGGGAAACAAAAGAAAGGTTTGGAATGGTTTGTAGATGTCAGTTACGGGCATGGCCGGCCCTAGATAATTTTCAAGTGTAAGCAAACAGTATTTTGGCACACCCCCCCCCCCCAAACCAATCACTGAAAAATAAAACCTGCTGTGTGTGCTCGGGGGTGCCTCAAGAGCGCCCCTTGGGTATTCGTGCTATACGCAAATGTGTATCTTGCTTATTGCTTCAGCCCCCCCCCCCCCCTGATTAAGGGTTGTAGGATAGTCCTTCTGCAATGTGGGATGAGGCCTAAAAGACGCCTTTCCAGGACCTTTAACCTTCACACATTATTAGACTTTATGCTAGAAAGGCTGAAGGGAAAGCATCTATAGGCAGAGAACATTATAAACATGGATGCAGAGAAAGTGACTGATGGGAGGAAAGGAACTGGAACAAGGACTGCTTTAAATTCAGTACTATTTTCTGAATATTTGTTACATTTTTGTATGAGGCGCAAGAGAGTATTCAAAACAAAACAAAGATAAAAGGGAGCCTATGCTAGAGAGCAGGACTCTCCATTAGTCCATTTCTGCGTGCAAACTGGTATAGATTAGGGATGATCAATTGCATTCTGTATTGTATGCAAACATTGGTGTTATGTTCCTCTCTTCAATGGATGTTAGTGACAAATGCTCCAGATTGGCTGGCCTAAAATGTTCCTTGAGTAGCTAGTTTCAGCAATCAGATCAATATGCATATGTTTTAGAGTTCTAATTTCTTCCATGTCTGCCTTTGCCTTCCTCTGGAAGTGTTTGATTTGCCCTAGGCCATCTAGTGGGTTTCCAAGGCCAAGTGGGGATTTGAACCCTGGTCACAGTCCAATGCTGAAACCACCAGAAACACATATATGTACTATTGAGAGCTATTGTAACTCTTGACATATCAAATATTTTGTTGCAGGCCTCTCAGCGCTGACAATTTCCACGCTCCACCTGTGCCCCCCAGAGGTCGTGAAATGCCACGCTAAATCTTCATTTCATACAGCTCGAATGTAGTAAAGTATGACTTGGATTCATAAGGATGGCATTTGAATGACTGTGATACAGCATCAGATCTCTCTTCCCTCAGTGAAATGAATAACTTTGGCATAGCCAATGACTGAAAACAGTCAAGGTTGAAAGGAGAAAAAAATGGAGACTTCAAACAAAAGTGGCTTTTCAGTACATTACAGCATGCGCACACACAAATCACATTGATGTAACTTAATAGAAACTGTCTTCATTGTCTCCAAGCAATACCAGACCAAAGGTGCCTTGATTATTTTCTGAATAATGCCTTTCAAAAAAAAAATGGTGCGCACACAGACACACACAATCAGAAAATCTTCTTGGGACATCTACAAAAGAGACATAAAACTGTGCTTTAAAAAAACAGTATTTCCATGGTGCAGTGACAGATCTATGTGCCCTGAACACTGGAGTAACTCCATTAAAATCTTCCCAAATGTTTTGGGTCATGATTCTGAGGAACCATCTACATTGCTATATAATCCAGTTTTTGAATCCAGATTATTTGCTTTGAACTGGATTATATGGCAGTGTAGACTCATATAATACAGTCCAACACATTTAGAAACTGGATTAAAAGGCAGTGTAGATTCAGCCTAAATGTCAGATTGCTAAACTGATACATGAGGTTGCTTTTCAGGTAACATAATAAGCAACATTGAGCAGTGTTTCCCAGATTACGTTTTACATACAAACAAGTAAGATCTTTGTAGAATCCATGGGTTCTCCGTAAATTGACAAGTGACTTGAAGGCACATATCCACACAAAAGTCTATGCTTGCCGTAGCTGTCTATTACTTCAGTAGTAATCTGTGAAAAGCGTGCTTGCTATGTATGGATATATGGAAGCCATCCATAAAATGTATGCACGGAGGTACGATGTAAACATGGTTTTACAAGTTCAGCATTGCTTCCGACAAAGGGGAGACAGTGATTAGGACAAAAGTCAATAGGGACAGAGAGGCTTTAAGACAAGGAATCCCATGGTGGACCTCTGAAGGGAAGCAAATGGTAGTAAGAAGAGCAGCATAGAATTAAAATGGGAGAAGAGCCTCCTGCAGCAGACAGGCAGTTTTCTTTCTTTCTGTTTCTGTTGCCATGCAATCCAGGCAACATCCTAAAAATGGTTTAGAATATGATTTTCTGTCCCTTGGTATGTTAAAAACAGGCACCTGTGCTAAAGTAATTTTACAAAAGATAGATACAATTTGGAAAAAATATATCATGAAGCTCATTCTCAAGGTCACATCTCATTCTCTGGAGGGGCTGAACTACTTTTAGGCCCCTTCCACACAGCTGTATAAAATCCACATTGAACTGGATTATATGGCAGTGTGGACTCAGATAAACCAGTTCAAAGCAGATATTGTGGATTATCGGCCTTGATATTCTGGGTTATATGGCTGTGTGGAAGGGCCTTAGAAGAACTCTCACGTCTCCAAAAACACAGTGATTTGGACATACTATTTACTGTGCTATCAAACATATGGAAATGGAGGTCTACTTTTGATATAATCAAATGAGGTAAGAGCTTGAGCAGCAAAAACAAGAATAATTATGAGAAAGATGACTTAATAATTTCAAATAGCTAATGTAAGCTTATTACATATTATCTACCTCCTGTTCTATAAAGCACTGCTTCTCAAACTGTGAGTCATGAAATATTTGGCAACAAACTTTTTTGAACTGTTTTAAACTTTTAAATGGATCTCTTGTGCAGTGTTTACAGTGGACTCTGCAGGAGATGCTTCAGCTGCACTTCATAAAAAGATAAATCAGCCTGTTTGGCAAGCCTTGCAAATAAGGATTTGTTATCTGTAAATGTTGATTTTTAGACCTATTTAAAATACCTATATACCTGGGGTCTTGTAAAAAATTTCTCAAGCAGGAAGGGGTCCTGAGTGGAAAAGTTTTAAAAGCCCTGCTATAAAGTAATGCATAGGCTTTAAATCAGCGTATTATTACTATTATTGTAGCAGTTTGTTTGTAACTTTTCAGAACTATCTTACAAGCATGAAGGGTCCGTTTAATTTCAGCCTTCTAATGGTTTCCTGAAGGCCATAGAAGTCTCTCCTGGTTAGACTCCTTTGTTGGTTCTCGTTTTGCCACTAGCAGTTACCAACTATCACTGTTACAGTACATCCTATTGCAAGATATTATTTCGTCAGAGAGAAAGGAGGCTACTTCCACCCATACCAATGAACTGACTCTCCTCTGCACTAAACAGACCTATTCAGTTGGATGGTATGACAACTGTAGACTTCAAAATGAAAGATATCCAGAGAGCAGAACAATAAACCAACACAATCACAAATGCCAGACGTTTCTGTGTATGACCTTTGATGCGCAGTATCCATTTCAGTCATAAGAACATGGAAAAAGTCTACCTTTAGTATGCTGTTCATCTGTCCTCCTGGAGCCCCCAGAGGCGTGGGCTCAATGTGCCGGCAGAACCGATGCCCGAAAGGTCAGCGGTTCAAATCTAGAGAGAGCAGGCTGAGCTCCCTCTGTCAGCTCCAGCTCCCCATGTGGGGACATGAGAGAAGCCTCCCACAAGGATGATAAAATATCAAACATCCGGGCATCCCCTGGGCAACGTCCTTGCAGATGGCCAATTCTCTCACAGCAGAAACAACCTGCAGTTTCTCAAGTTCCTCCTAACACGAGGGGGAAAAAACCTGTCCTCCAAGACTCACAAATGACAGATGGAGGGGGATGTATCATGCTTCAGAAGATATCAAACATTTGGAATTGGGGGCCATTTTTGCAGCTCCAAGATTGTCTAGGAGCCACAGCTGAGCCTTGAAACAATACAGAATATGACCAATTTCATTAAACCCCCTTGTGAACAGGATTTTTAATGTCTTTGCTAAAACAGAGTAAAAGGTTAAATCTTCTCAGTAGCTCAAGAGATTTTTTTAAAATGCCATTTGTATTATGTTTCCTTTTTGTAGGAGACACTCCAGTATTATGAATGCAGCCACCATCTTTGAATACGTGCTTGACGCCCTATGAAATGTGTGATAGCTCAGAACATGCTGTATGGAATTCATTATCTGCCTGGACATTCTGTATATTTCCATATTTTTATGTTTATATTTGTAAAATTAAAATAATTGCACTGCATGTTTTGAAGATCTTGTGTAGCTATACAACACGTAGTGTGACCTCTTTAATAATGGTTGCTGTTTCTGCCATTGCCACCTTACATGTCTAAAAACCTAGAAGAAAACAGGATAAAAGGGGGGAGGGGAGCGGCTAAATGACGTTTCAGGAAAGTGCAGATGGAATTGGGTTAACAATGAAAACCATGTGTTTAAAAGGTGCACTTAAAATCTGATTCTGGTCAAAAATGTGCACCTTCACATGACTGTATATCACTGCAGTCATGGAAAACACATGACTTCCTTTCATCCCTGTGTGGACTGCTCCAGTGTACATGCGTGTTTTAAAAGCCCGAAACGGCTGTCAAAAAATGGAGCCACGGACACACGGGTGGCAAAATGGAAGCACAATTGGAAAGCAATTACAGTTAGAACTCCCTGCAACCATTCCTTTGTTCTGATCTTTATAATATTAAACAGTTTGAATTTATAGCTGGGCAAGGAGAAATAAGAAATCTGCTTGTGTGTATATTGGGATCTCCACATGAGTGCATGTGATGTCCAGTGCATCTTCGACTTTTTTTGTAAAAACCTACTTCTACAAGATGTCTTGAGGATTTGTAAAATCCCTTCTAAGGAAGGTGTGAGGGTGGCAGGGGACCATTTCCTGGGACTGATAGGTTTGTGGCCCCTTCTACACTGCCATTTATTTATTTACTTACTATACTTTTATACCGCCCCTCTCAGCCCGGAGGCAACTTGAGGCGGTTTACATTTGGCAATCAATGCCCCACAAGATAAAATACAGTCAAAAACAATTACATATAGTATAAACCGTATAAAAACAATAAACCATAAACAATTAAAACAATAAAATACAGTTCTCAGCGTCTCATCATTAAAATCATTTTCCATCACATCGTCCTGTCGTTCCATGAGACTCAATCAGTTATACTGTGTCTGCAAATGTCTGCTCAAACAGCCAGGTCTTAACTCTCTTTCAAAATGTTGGGAGGGAAGGGGGCGATCTAATGTCCCTAGGGAGGGCATTCCATAGCCGGGGGGCCACTGCTGAGAAGGCTCTGTCTCTCGTTCCCGCCAATCAGATCTGTGAAGAATGCTGGACTGAGAGCAGGGCCTCTCCAGACGATCTTAAACACCTAGATGGTTCATAGGAAAAGAGGCGTTCAGATAGGTAAACTGGGCCAGAACTGTTTAGGGCTTTAAAGGCTAAAGCCAGCACTTTGAATTGTGCCCGGTAGCAAACTGGCAGCCAGTGGAGCTGGCGCAACAGAGGAGTTGTGCGCTCCCTGAATGCCGCTCCTGTTAACAACCTGGCTGCTGTCTGTTGGACCAATTGAAGCTTCCAAACAGTCTTCAAAGGCAGCCCCATGTAGAGAGCGTTGCAGTAGCCTATATGGGATGTAACCAGAGCGTGGACTACCGTGGCCAAGTCAGACTTCCCAAGTTATGGGTGCAGCTGGCGCACAAGTTATAACTGTGCAAATGCTCCCCTGGTCACCGCCGAAGATTAGGTGCTTTGAACTGGATTATCTGGCAATATTGACTAAAACAATCCAGTTCAAAGCAGAAGTGGACCTCTGAGGATGCTTGCCATAGATGCAGGCGAAACGTCAGGAGAGAATGCCTCTAGAACATGGCCATATAGCCCGAAAAAACCTACAACAACCCAGATGTGAATTATCTGCTTTGATAATCTGGATTATATGGCAATGTAGAAAAGGCCTGATTTATGGACTTGCTATTAGATCCTGGGATTTTTAAACCCAATGTTTTAACTCACATTTTGGTGTGTCAAAGTACCTGGAGGGCCCATCCACCCAGACATACAACCCAGAATATCAAAGCAGAAAATCTCGCAATATCTGCTTTGAACTGGGGTCCCCTTAGGCCCCTTCCACACAGTTGAATAAAATCCCACATCTGCTTTGAACTGGGATATATGGCAGTGTGGACTCAGAGAAACCAGTTCAATGCAGATACTGTGGGATTTTCCGCCTTGATATTCTGGGATATAGGGCTGGGTGGAAGGGCCCTGAGTCCACGCTTTCATATATTCCAGTGCAAAGCATAAAATGTGGGATTTTACTCATCTGTTTGGAAGGGGCCTTAGATAACCCAGTTCAAAGCAGATACTGTGGATTATCTGCCCTGATATTCTGGGTTATATGGCTGTGTGGAAGGGCCTAGAGAAGGCATGGGCAAACTTTGGCCCTCCAGGTGTTTTGGACTCCAATTCCCACAATTCCTTTGTTGATGTTAATTCGTTCAGTCGCTTCCAACTTTGTGACCTCATGGACCAGCCCATGCCAGAACTCCCTGTTGGCCGTCACCACCCCCAGCTCCTTCAAGGTCAATTCAGTCACTTCAAGGATACCATCCATCCATCTTGCCCTTAGTCGGCCCCTCTTCCTTTTTCCTTCCATTTTCCCCGGCATAATTGTCATCTCCAAGCTTTCCTTTCTTCTCATTATGTGGCCAAAGTACTTCACTTTGCCTCTACTATCCTTCCCTCCAATGAGCAGTCGGGCTTTATTTCCTGAAGTATGGACTGGTTGGATCTTCTTGTGGTCCAAGGCACTCTCAGAACTTTCCTCCAGCACCACAGTTCAAAAGCATCTATCTTCCTTCGCTCAGCCTTCCCTATGGTCCAGCTCTCACATTTGTAGGTGACTGTGGGGAATACCATTGCTTTGACTATGCAGATCTTCGTTGCCAATGTGATGTCTCTACTCTTCTCTATTTTATCTAGATTGGTCATTGCTCTCCTCCCAAGAAGTAAGTGTCCCCTGATTGCCTGGCTCCAGTCTGCGTCTGCAGTAATCTTTGCACCTAGAAATACAAAGTCTGTCACGGCCTCCACATTTTCTCCCTCTATTTCCCAGTTATCAATCATTCAAGAGAGATACTGACAAGCTGGAATGTGTCCAGAGGAGGGCGACTAAAATGATCAAGGGTCTGGAAAACAAGCCCTATGAGGAGCGGCTTAAGGAACTGGGCATGTTTAGCCTGAAGAAGAGAAGGCTGAGAGGAGATATGATAGCCATGTATAAATATGTGAGAGAAAGCCACAGGGAGGAGGGAGCAAGCTTGTTTTCTGCTTCCTTGGAGACTAGGATGCGGAACAATGGCTTCAAACTACAAGAGAGGAGATTCCATCTGAACATATTCGTATTCTCCCCTACGAACCATCAAGATTATTAAGATCATCTGGAGAGGCCCTGCTCTCGGTCCCACCGGCTTCGCAAGCGCGCCTGGTGGGGACGAGGGACAGGGCCTTCTCGGTGGTGGCCCTGTGACTCTGGAACTCTCTCCCACTGGAGGCCAGAACCACCGCATCCATCCTAACATTTAGGAAACAGGTGAAGATGTGGCTGTGGAGTCAGGCCTTCGATGAATGAGACAACACCCTAGGACTCTGGATGGAAGATGATGTAGATCTGTTTTAAATATGACAACTGACCACTGTAGTTTTATACATAGTGTTATTTTAAAGCTGTTTTTGTAATTGTGATATATGGTATTTTAATGACTGTATATGTTTTTATGGTTGGAAACCGGGCTGAGTCCCTCAATGAGGTTGAGAAGCTCGGTATAGAAAACTTTGAAATACATAAATAAATAAATAAACATGAGGAAGACTAGGACGCAAAACAATGGCTTCAAACTACAAGAGAGGAGATTCCATCTGAACATGAGAAAGAACTTCCTGACTGTGAGAGCCGTTCAGCAGTGGAACTCTCTGCCCGGAGTGTGGTGGAGGCTCCTTCTTTGGAAGCTTTTAAACAGAGGCTGGATGGCCATCTGTCAGGGGTGATTTGAATGCAATATTCCTGCTTCTTGTCAGGGGGTTGGACTGGATGTCCCATGAGGTCTCTTCTCCTTGACCTCACCATTACTACAGCATTGCAATGAGGTCCTCACTACCTCTGAGGATGCTTGCCATAGATGCAGGCGAAACGTCAGGAGAAATGCCTCTAGAACATGGCCATATAGCCCGAAAAACCTACAACAACCCATGAAAGCCTTCGACAATACAGCCTAATATAATATAATATAATATAATATTATATTGTATAAACATATAATATTTATAATATTATAATGTAATGCAATATAATACTAATAATATGATATTATAATTATATATTTATATTACATGTAATATTACTAATAATATTACAATATAATTGGTATAGTATAATATAGCAATATTTAAAACTGATATTGTACTATGCTAATAATATAATATATTGTATGTATATATACCTTGTAAGCCGCTCTGAGTCCCCTTCGGGGTGAGAAGGGCGGCATATAAATGTCGTAAATAAATACATAAATAAATAAATGGATGGCCCATGAGGTCTCTTCCAACTCTTTGATTCTATGATTCTTGTTGCCATTCCTAACAGCTAGTAAGCTGGTTAGGATTTCTGGGAGTTGAAGTCCAAAACACCTAGAAGGCCAAAGTTTGCCCATGTCTGGCCTAGAGTGTTATGAATGGGCTGTGGTTCCGCTATGGCGGCCCTTGCCTTGCAGTTCGGTTCAGTTTATCTACGGTAAATAATTCTGTCAGAGGATCCTAGAGGCGCCAATTTCAGCATTCAGGGCATTCGAAGGGGCGCTTTAAAGGCGCGGTGTGGAAAAGGTCTCCTCTCAGCTGTGTGGAACCCTGTTCCGGGTCTGGCGGCGCAGGCGCAGAAGAAACGGCTGGGATGGTCCCGCCCTTTCGCTACCGCTCCCTCTCGCGTCACTCCATCGCGCAGGGGCAGCGCTTCGCCTTGGTCGCCTTTTGGGCTGCTCTCGGCCGCCGTAAGTCGCGGTGGTTCCGGCGTGCGCCCGGATGACGTGGCGGGAACGGCGGAAGCGGCGCCTCCTTTTCTTCGGCGGAGACGGGGATGGCGCCGGCGGGGTTCCTGTGGTGCGTGGCGGCCCTGCTGGTCGTGCGAGGCCGCGCCGACGAGCATGAGCACACGGTGAGCCCCGCCGCGGGCCTGGAGGGAGGGCCGCCCGCCCACCCTGGGGCCCTCCCTCGGCCCCGCAGCCCTTCCTCGGCCGCCCAGAGGCCCCAAGGGCCCGCGTGCTCTCCCTGCCCCGCGCTTGGGAAGCTGCTCCGCGTGCCCCAGAAGAGGCGCTGCCCTTCGGAGCGGCTCGGCCTCCGAAAGGGCGCCCCGCCTTGGCCGAGGCAACCTCTCCTTTCCCTCCCCAGTCTGTTCCAGAGTTGCTCTCCCACTTCACATTCTGCCTCCTCTTGTGACATCCCGGGGTGGGCAGTTCTCTCCGCCAAGAAGATCTTGGGCCTCACCCAACTTCAAAGCCACAGGATTGAGAGTCGGATGGCAACTCTTCAACAGTGGAGTGAGATAATCTCCAGTCACATTTAGGAGCGCCTCAGGGCCCTTACACACTGCCCCATTATCCCAGGATCTGAGCCCAGATTATCTGTTTATCCCAGATTATCTGACAGTGGAAACCCAGGGCCCTTCCACACAGCCCTATATCCCAGAATTTCAAGGCAAAAAATCCCACAACATCTGAGTTCACACAGCCATATATCCCAGTTCAAAGCATAGCTGAATAAAATCTCCGATTACCTGCTTTGAACTGGAATATATGGCAGTGTGGACTCAAGATATCCCAGTTCAAAGCAGATACTGTGGGATTTTCTGCCTTGATATTCTGGGTTACATAGCTGTGAGAAAGGGCCCTGAGTTCACACTGCCATATAATCACACTGTGTATTGAAGGGGGCTCTGTCTTGAGGGGGAGTAGCCTCATTTACATTTATATCTTGAGTCCACACAGCCATATATCCCAGTTCAAAGCAGAAAATGTGGGATTTTATTCAGATGTCTTGGGGCCTTTCCTCACAGCCCTACATCCCAGAACATCAAGGCAGAAAATCCCACAATATCTGCTTTGAACTGGGATATCTGAGTCCATACTCAGATAATGTGGGATTATCTGCCTTGATAGGAGCCCCCGGTGGCGCAGTGGGTTAAACCCCTGTGCCGGCAGGACTGAAGACCGACAGGTCGCAGGTTCAAATCCGGGGAGAGGCGGATGAGCTCCCTCTATCAGCTCTAGCTCCTCATGCGGGGACATGAGAGAAGCCTCCCACAAGGATGATAAAACATCAAATCATCCGGGCGTCCCCTGGGCAACGTCCTTGCAGACGGCCAATTCTCTCACACCAGAAGCGACTTGCAGTTTCTCAGGTTGCTCCTGACACGACAAAAAAAAAATCTGCCTTGCTATCCTGGGATATAGGACTTTGTGGAAGGGCCCTGGAAGGGGCCTCTTATATTCCAGTTTAAAGCAGATCCTGGAATAAAGGGCAGTGTGGAAGGGCCCATAGGCTGGATCTACGCTGCAGTTTCCAAATCCAGATTACACTATGTAACACATTATTTTGTTCCTGGGTTAGAAATGTCATTTTCTAATTGGTTCTATAGGAAAAACATGGAAAAGGTTTATTAAACTGCAAAAACTTCGTCTTTGTGGGATATCCTGCTGTAGCACATTTTGCTCTCGCTTTTCAATGAATATTTCACAGTCTTAACCAATTCAAGATAGTTTGTGGCAGACACAAAAACAAAGTTTCTGTAGATTAGCTATTTTCAAAGTAAATACAACATAATTAAGCAGGAAATAATATTTTCAAATCAGGAACAGAACTTTTTTTCATATTTTGTTAGGGCCCTTCCACACAGACCAAAATCCCAAAATATCAAGGCAGAAAATCCCACATTATCTGAGTGTGGACTTGGATAATCCCGTTCAAAGAAGATATTGTGGGATTTTCTGCCTTGATATTCTGGGATATAGGGCTGTGTGGAAAGGTCCTGGAAGGGCCTTTAGATTGTGTTATATGAACTGACTTATATATAACCCAGTACAAAGCAAATGATCTGGATTCCAAAACTGAATAATATGGTAGTGTAAATGGGGCCACTCCCCCCCCTCAAGACAGAGGCCCCTTCCACACAGATGTATAAAATCCACAGTGTGATTATATGGCAATGTGAACCCAGGGCCCTTTCACACAGCCCTATATTCCAGAATATCATGGCAGAAAATCCCATACTATCTGAGTGTGGACTCAGGGCCCTTCTGCAGAGCCTTATATCCCAGAATATCTGCCTTGAACTGGGATATCTGAGTCCACACTGCCATATATTCCAGTTCAAAGCAGAGAATCTGGGATTTTATTCAGCTGAAAGGGGCCTCATATAATCCAGTTCAAAGCAGATATTGTGGATTATTGGCCTTGATATTCTCGGTTATATGACTATGTGGAAGGGCCTGGAGAGAGAGCATCCTTACTCTGCAGTAGGATAATGTGTTTAGTCTTTTTTTAAAAAATTAAAAATAACTATATTTGTCAAAAGTGTTGTTTCAAAACCATTCTCTAGGAACGGTTTATCCCAAAAACTGTCTAATGAATGACTGCCATAATGTTTTAATGTGAAATTTGGAGCATCTCTCCTCTGAGGGGCACAACATGTTGGTTGGCAGCTTTATCACAGCAAAGCACAAGAGTCCCAATGTTCGCTGTAGGCCAGTTCCCCTGAAATCGGCAACTAAAAATTCTGTATGTCTGTCACTATGAGGTCTTGAACATTGTGAGGGGAAATAGAGTTGTCCTGTGGTAGTGCTGTATATAAGTGTATACAACTGAATTATTATACCATAATCTTTGTAACATGAATCCAAGATTTATCACAATACAAGTAATCCCTGAGTTACAAACATCCAACTTGCATATGACTCCTAAAACCTTCTACACAGCTGAATGAAATCCCACATGTTTTGCTTTGAACTGGAATATATGGCAGTGTGGACTCAAATAACTCAGTTCAAAGCAGATATTGTAGATTTTCTGCCTTGATATTCTGGGCTATATGACTGCGTGGAAGGGTCCTAGTTACAACTGAAGGTGAGACAGCAGGAAGTGAGAGAAATATTCCCCTCGGAAGGAAACTCAATCCTGAAAGAGTTATCATCATGGGAAAAAGGGGTCTTCACTGAAGCTTTCTCACTAATCTTTGTTTCCATGACAAACCACATTTTTCAAAATCCAATTATCACAGGAACGGAAAGTGAGGTGAAATTTTTTGAACAGACACAGACAGCAAGGCAAATGTTACAGGGATGTCTTGTAAAATAGGGTAGTAATATAATTCCTTATTCTAGACAAGGAATGAGAACCAATTAGGAGCCAAGGGAATAGCAACTTGTGTGAAAACACTTGGCACGAAGACATTAGAATTTGGGATTTAACTTGCATTTTTCTCAACTCTCCTACATTGTTCAACATTCAGAATATTCAAAGTGGCAAACTGTAAAAAAAAAAGGGCATCTTAAAACCCACCTGCTTGAAATGAAATAGCGGAAAGTGTTACACTAAGTAGCTTGTTGAAAGAAATTTATTTGTCTGAAGGTGGGCAGTAGACATAAATTGGTACTAGCAAAGAAAATGCTCATTTTAAAATTCTATCTAATACAGCTGAAATGTCACCTAGTAGTGAACCTGTGAGATACTAGGAGCAGTGTTAGTTCTTGGCATGTTTACTTTATCCTGCAGCAGCAGGAGTTTGTCGCGTAATATGTTTGCATTTATACTACAGATACGAGTAGTAAAATGGTGTTCCTTATATAAAATGGCAACGTCAAGATTTGCTTTTGAAATGTAATAAAAATATTTTCAAGCCCTGGATGATATGAAAGACTGACTACATATATCAGATAATGTAGATGGGTTTCTAGGTATTTTTACAGAAATAATATAGAAAGAATACAGATAGATCCCTACTCCACAAAAAACCCAGAAATTAAATGTGTTTCAGCATTTTTTTGTCCAGAACTAACAGCATGCACATGTTGGGACTGTTTTGGTTGTGTGTTCCTCTATGGTAGAGGGTTGGACTGGATGGCCTTTGTGGTCTTTTCCAACTTGATGATTCTGTGTTTCTATGAAATGAAACAATTCAGCCTTGCATAACTAAACAAAAACATTGTGAAGCTTCTAGAGACCATTTGAAAGCTATTTCCAAAAGGCACCCAAGGGATGATTTTTTTAAATTCTTCACTCGCTTCCTCCAATCTTATGATTTTTGAGGCCATATTTAAGACCTATATGTAGCTGGTGTGGCAAACTTACCAGCTTTCCCCCTTTCTCTCTGCTGAGCTGCTCATGCATGTTCAATAAGGGATCCTTGGAGCAAGTGCAATTACCTTGCCCGCAATAGGCAGACATACTCATTTTTGTAGAATTGCTAAATTAAAATTACATTTCTCTCAGCTCAATTTTAGTGCATCTTTTATTGCAGACATACAGCCAGTCTGTGTTTCTCCAACTCTTCTTCACTGCCTTCCCAGTCCTGATTCTACTAAAAACTTTCAGCTAGTCAGAAGATGAACGAACATAAAGAGACGTTGTAAAAAAATGGGTTTACTGAAATATGCCTTTATGTACATTATGAATTATAGGCAAAAATGTGAGGAGTAGTGACAAAAAAAGAGAACAGTATGTGCAAAAGTTGTTATGCACAGCTTCATAGAGTTGAAAAGGATCCCAGGGGTCATCTTGTTCAATTTTTTCTGCCATTGTATGAATCCAGGAGTGAGGCTTCCCTCATCACTTGCCATTCAACATCTGTTTAAAAACCACAAGGTAAACCAGAAGGAAACCATGTAATCAATAATATTGCATTCCACTAAGAAGTTCCAACAGAATCATAGACCTCGTGGGCCATCCAGTCCAACCTCCTGCCAAGGAGCAGGAAAAGCACATTCAAAGCACTCCCAACAGATGGCCATCCAGCCTCTGTTTAAAAGCCTTGATGGCTCTTGCTTCTTCAAGAATCCTATTCACATCTTCAGGCAGCACATGCCAAAAAGTGTTAATTAGTGATGAGCAAGGGCTGAAACTACGTCCAGTGAACCTGTATCAACATTTGTGTTCAAGACAGAGTTGACCTGAACAATTTTATCTGTGAAGTGGTAGGTAAATTCTTCACAGTGGGCTCACAGTATTGGAAAGAAGCCCAGTATCTCCATATCTGCTAAAGGAGGGTAAAAGCACTGGTGTTTCTCCAATGGGCAGCAAAATATGCCTTTGCGTGAAACCAGTATTGAATGGATAAAGATGTTAGGATTCAGGAGAAATTTCCAGATCTTCTCAAACAAATATAAAAATTGCAGTTAATCTGTAATGTAGTTGGTTAATACAGGTTGAGAGCATCCCTTATCCCGAATTCAAAAGGCCAACATATTCTAACATCCAAAATTATCCACATGTATGGATTAGATAGTGACACTTCACTTTCTTACTATTCAGTGTATATAAACATTAGCTCAGACACAAAATTATTTAAAATATTGTGTATAAAACTGCTGTCAGGTTGTGTGTATAAGGGGCATGACACTTTAACTTTGGTACCTTATCCAAGATACCTCAGAATCTTTAAAAAATCTGAAATTCAAAAGACTTCTGGCCTCAAGCTTTTCGGATAAACAGCCCTTAACCTGTTAGGGTAAGCTACCCAGTATCCTCTGAAATGGTCAATTTGTGGACCTCCAGATGTTGGACACACATTGGCTCTGTTGGTCAGGAACATATAAAGAATCAAAAATTACCAATCCATGATATTTGGACTAATTCCTGACCATTGACCATGCTAACTAAGGCTGATGGATAGCCCAGCCAATGCGGTTTAGTCAAAACAGTGTGCTACTAGCAGAAAATGGATGCAATGCAGACAGGTTTACTTCCAATCTGTTTACATTTCTAACATTTTAAACATTTTCCCTTTATTTCCCATGAGTATCTCTTCCAGTTTAACAAATGTACTTATTTATAATTCTTTTATTTTTCATTGTGTTTTTTTCCAGTACCAAGATAAAGAAGAAGTTGTTTTATGGATGAATACCGTAGGACCATATCACAATCGCCAGGAGACATACAAATACTTCTCTCTTCCCTTCTGTGGTGGATCAAAAAAAAGCATTGGTCATTATCATGAAACACTGGGAGAGGCACTCCAAGGAGTTGAACTAGAGTTCAGTGGTCTGGACATTAAATTTAAAGGTAAAAAAAAAATCAACAAAGTATTTTTGTCAAAGTTTATAGAATTGTAAATTATTTTTCCTGTCCTAAAACATTTAGTTATAATCATGTTCTTATAGTCAAGTTTATCTACTAAAACACAATTATTTATTGGTCACTTTTCTTCCTGTAGTATTAGTTTCTGTGGCTATTTAGTTATGGCTTAGGTCTCAGGAGCAGGCCACAATGTCTCATACTCCTGTCCCTCATATATCAAGTATCCTGAATTTGCTTTTACTTTAGTAAAAGCTTAAACTGGAATTAAGCTGAGAGTTGATTAAACCTGACTGGCATTTGTTTTTTTTTGTTTTTTTTTTTAAAAAATATATTTCACAACAAATTTAAAAAAAGATAGACACTAAAATAAGAAACAAATAAAAGAATTTACTACAAAATAACTTTAATATTTCTACCAGCTTGTCACAATCCCTCCCAACTAGAACCAAAAGTAAACTATCCACATCCTTTGAAATAAATAATAGAAAAATAGAAAAAAATTAAAACATATATTGAAAAGGTATTCAGGCTCTGCACAAATGCAGCATTTGCTTTGGCATGATTGGGTTAATTAGTGGTCATCTCTGTATTCATCAGTGACCACAGCTTTGAGCGGAGCCTAAAAAATATCAGCAGGCAAGTCTGAGGGTAGATCATCTTAATAGATTAAAAAAGCAAAAGACCGCCAAGAGTCTAAGCTTTCATGAGAAGTGATCTGATCCTGACAAGAAGAAAGCATGAATTTCCTTCCTTACATATTTTTGTTTCCCTGCCCAGTTGACAAAATCAAATGAAGAATCGTTTCTGCAAATGTGTTGGAGTTATTTATCTCAGAATTACTATCTGTTTCTAGCATCCCCATTTAGTGCCTAATACATACAAATTGGATTAGTCTCCTTAGATGTCATTATATTATAAATGAAAGCTCTTTTATTTTGGATAAATCTATATCTAGGCTGTATAAGGCACAGAAAACATTCCAAAGCATCAGCCACTAGACATACATACAGTTTATACATTTTCAGAACTTTATTCTGAATTTCAAATATTATAAAATCTCATACAATTTGAAATTCAGCATACAGTGACAACTTTAATTTGCGATTTTAATTAGATGCTTTATATCAAAATGATCCAGATTTTATGTTTGTTACAAGGTTAAGATCACAATACTTTTCCCTCCCCTGTCCTGTTAATACCATACTTACTCCCCTCTAGCTATATATTGAATTTCCAAGGTGCATAGTAAAAGCTAAACTGTAAAAACAGAAAGCCCTCAATCCAGCAGATGGTCCACTTGATCCAGGTGGCTATTAATTGGCAATGGGAAGGTAAAGCTCTCTGCTGACTGAAGTACCGCAGGCATTAAGGAACAGGTACTGGTGGCTTTCAGTGTCACCAGTCCTTCTGTGCACATGTTTCCATAGCCATTTGTTTGCTTGCACACACAAATATCCATCACAGTTTACCCATTAGGGAAGGATGCTTTGGGGACCACTTCAGAGTGCTTGAGGTGCAATTTCTGATGGGACGTAGGTTCCCTCATCCCTCTCTTTTCATTAATTCAGAAAAGAGAGGTGCAAAGTATTTGAAGTCATTCGAAAAAGGCAGTTGCAAACTATTAGTGGGGAAAGCAAAGGGAAAGGGAAGCACGGATCATAGGATCAAGAGTTGGAAGAGACCACAAAGGACATCCAGTCCAACCTCCTGCTATAATAATAATGATAAAACTTCATTTATACCCTGCTCCATCTCCCTCAGGGGGACTCGGGGCGGCTTACATAAGGCCATGCCCATCAAACACAATAAACACAGTATACACAAAACAAAAAATGCAATAACCAATATAAAAAACAACACAGCAATATAAAATCAAACATCAAACACAAAAATCCACAGGGCAGGGCCACATCAGAATAAAATTTTAAATTTAAAAACAATGGGAGATAGGCAATGTAAGGATTGTCATGATGGGGAACCGGGATGAGGAAGGATTTAATTGCATGAGCCATAAACTAAAGTGCTTCCGGGGTTATTTTGGTCAGGGAGGAACTATGCAGGAACACACAATCAAAGCACTCCCATCCAGCCTCTGCTTAAAAACCTCCAGAGAAGGAGACCTAAAATGAAAAGGAAAAAAATCCAGTTACATGAGGATGGAAATGGGACAGTTGCTGTTACCCACTGAGCCATGATTTTCGGATTCCCAGCTAACATTTAAAAAATGACTAGGCTGTAGCCATCATGTGACATATGAGACTAAATGTGTTCCTACAACTTTGCTGATAGTCTTTTTTATCATGTCTACTCCGAAAAACAGCAGAAAGCCTAGGTCTGCCTATCTTGATAATGCTGGATGGAGTCCAGGCTACCAAATTGCATAGAACTGATAGACTGTAGAGATTATTGGACTTATGGCAGACACTATATATAGTTTACTTTGATATTTCAATATCCGAGTAATGCAAATTTTTTTTGTTAGGTGTAAATGTGGTTACACCTTTTCTTTTATGTTGTATGTTATAATTTGTTCATATATGTGGGTTTATTTTGGTATATGTGGACTTATTGTGGTATATGTTGGTTTATTTTGGGTTCTGGTAGATTATTGCATACATATTTATTGTTGTTTCAGGCATTGATTGTTTGCCTTTTTATTGTTGGAATCCATCCTGAGTCCCCTTGGGGAGATATCTACAAATCCTGATATACTGCCATAAAGGCCAATTTGATTCACATGTGATGAACTGTAAGGGACTATCAAATGGCAAATTCTTCCATTTTGTACAACTGTTCTATGATAAACCCCATCTATTTGCAGTATATTCATGAACATTACACATAGCTTCTGTTTTGGATTATATAAATAGTTATAACACCGGAATGTTTTTAAGACAAAGGTCCCTCAGTCCTAAACAACTGGTGATTTTGTCGGAATGTAATAAGAGAAAATGTGCCTTTGAAGAAATGTAAATGGTTATTTAATGCACATCAGTTCTATTCAAGAAGAAAAGAATGACATTCAGTGAACAGAAATTTATTGCCAGTTCCTGGAACAATGGAAAACAATAGTCTTCCACATCAGATAGCCTGAAAAGCATTGGTGTAGCTACTTAAAAGTGGTGAGATTTGATCCTGTCAGCGGGTGGGCTTTAGGGCCTTGTTGTTGTTTAGTCTTTGACAAATCAGGGATGCTAGGCAACCGCGCAGGATAAAAGGCTCCATATGTCAAGGTAAGGTTTACGTTGAAATAGTGGATTCCTTCCATAAAATGCATATGGTAGTACTGATGTAAATATCAGTTGACTCCTGGTAGCACTGTTAACACATTGTTTTGATCTCCACAGATGATGTAATGCAGACCACATACTGTGAAATAGACTTGGATAAACAAATAAGAGATGCTTTTGTTTATGCTATCAAAAATCACTATTGGTATCAGATGTATATAGATGACTTGCCAATATGGGGTAAGAAAAGTTTGTTACCATAAATATTATGCACCCTTCTCTGATCTTATCCTTCCTCATTTCACTTCCCTTCTGGTCCAGCCTTCAGTCATCTTCCTTTAAGCACCTTTTAGGGTGAATAGGCATGGAATAAAAAACATCTTTTCTATTTTTGCTATTTAGTGGATAACAGCCATGATGAATTATTACTTTCATTGAGGGCGATACCACCTAATCTTACTGTGGTTATCTGTGAGCTGGATTTCATCTCCTTGGTCATCCACTAGACTTCAGACATAGTTATCAGTACCATTGTATCCACTGTGTTTCTTAATTTTCTCATGAAAATGATTATGATCTGAATGTCTGCATTTCTTTTCCCAGGATCTGATGCAAGTGTTTCTTTGTGGGGGTGACAATTTCTCTGTTTACCCAGCCTCCCCTCTGAGGAAAGCATTGAGAGGGAGGATTTTTAGTTAGTATATAGTGTTGGCATGTTCTAAGGAACACACTAGGATGGTATGTCTTGAGGTAAGGATAGGGATGGGTGGGTAGATGTTATTTAGATGGTTGTATTAAGGGCCTTCATGCATTCCCTGCCAGACTTTATAGGTTTCATGATTGCTCTTAATGGCTCTTATTTTAGTGTAGAAGTTCAGCTTTCTTGTAAGCGTGTTTGAAGTCTTGAGATGTAAGATATCTGAGTGAATTAATTGTCATCTGCCTTTCTGTGTCTTTGTGAGCTGCAGAATGCGCATTTACTAAAATCCAACTTCACTATGATCTTACTTGTGTGCAACTATAAATATTTATTTATTATTTATTTATTTACATCACTTATATCCCGCCCATATCAGCCCGCAGGCGACTCAGGGCGGTCTACATATCGGCACAATTCGATGCCATCAATACAATACAAAAGCAAAAACAGTTAAGTGCAATTATACAAAAAAGACAGTGCAATGACAATTTAAAAAGAGCTATATCCTCTTATTCCAATCCTCGTTCATTTCATCGTCTTGGCCGTTCCTGGGTCATTCTCCATCTCAAGCTTGACTATCTATTCCGGGGTTCCGAATGCCTGCTCGAAGAGCCAGGTTTTCACTCTCTTACGAAAGGTCAGGAGGGAGGGGGCTGATCTAATATCCCTAGGCAAGGAGTTCCACAGCCGAGGGGCCACCACAGAGAAGGCCCTGTCTCTCGTCCCCGCCAAGCTTGGAAAAGGAATGTAGTTTACATTGAACAATTTGACTGTATAACTTTGCTGAGGCTTACATGATTCTAAAGTGCTACAATTGATTTTCGGTTGATTAACAACTGAAGCAGTCACAAATTGTTGCTAAAGAAGAAAAAAACATGTGTAGGGCATAAATGCAATAGTGAATACAAAAATGGGTAAAACTTGAATAATGTGTAAAATGTATATAATTGCTATTTTTCCAAGCATATTTCCCAAAGCTGAGGTCTGTATTTTAAAGATAAAGCATGAAATAGTGGAATTATAAATCACCTGTTGCACTTAGTACTGACTTCAAAAAAATATTCAATTCAAAACAGATCTTACAGTTGTAATAAAATGATTAGCTTCATAAATTGATAAATATAATTGGGTTCCACAAGCATACTGATAGCACCTCATCCCATGCCTTTGATACCTCTCCCAATGGTTTCATATAAATGTTCAAAAGCATTGGGAATAGAATGACACCTTGTGGGATGCCACATGACAGTGGTCTGATCTGTAATTACTTAGGTCAGGGGATCCAGGCTTTTTCAGTAGTGATCTAACTACTACTTCTTTTAAACAAAATGGGAAGTTTCCTTCCCTGAGGGATGCATTAATAATATGTTTTATTAGCCCCTCCCTGGACAACCAGCCAAGAGGGGCAGGGATTGAAAAAACAGGTTGTTCTTCTTACTTGCCTCAGCAGCTTGTCCACATCAGCGGTATCACCAGAATTACTAGACAGCCCATTATCAACTTCTGCTGTAATGATAACATCTATCAACTCTTATATATCTGTGAAATGATCATTAAAGGTGTCACAGTGAGCTATTGAAGGTCCTAACAGCAGGTTCAGAGAAGAGGGTACCTGGGTTAGGCCTCTCACCAACCCTAAATAGCTAGGCTGAGCATGAATTTGCAGGTGCAGCAAACAATGCTTTCTTCACTGCACATACTGCCACCTTGAAGGAACAAAAATGTCCCTTATATTACATCTTGCCTCATAGAAGTTGGGTTTTTCATCATCCATGCTCTAGTCATCATCCTTAGTAATGTGTTTAACTACCTCTGAGTATGCCTTGCCTAAGAAAGCCCCAGGACAGTCAAGCAATTTGAAGCACGCATGCATACAATTTATCAATAGTGTTTCTCCCCATTGCTACCAACACAGTAAATTATGTTGTGTTAGCAGCGCCACTAACCTTTTCTGCTTGTGAGAAAGCTTAAAATAAATCACTGAACTGGATTCAAATGTAACAGAAGCTATAAGACAGGGAATTTTCAAGTTTTTTAGTTCCAGAAAGAAGGAAACAATTAGATATGTGACCTTTAAAACTAGAAGCAGAACAAGGGCCTTACTTTTTTTTTTTTACTCTTGCTCAATCCTAGAATGGAACTATGCTTTACATGGCTTTGTTTCAAAGCCTGCATACCAAGCTATTTATTGTTCATATTTGTTTCCAAAAAGGGAGAGAAAAATATCTGATGGCTTGTGTGATGTACCTGGCAAGATTTGAAACTCTTCTTGTCTTTCTACTTCTGGTATGCAAAGGGGTGCTGCTCTCCACCAGGTGTTTGGCCCCCTTTTCTTCACTCCAGCCATCTCAACACATGTTCCTCTAAAACAGTGTTTCTCAACCGGGGGGTCGGGACTCCTGGGGGGGTCGTGAGGGGGTGTCAGAGGGGTCGCTAAAGACCATCATAAAACACAGTATTTTCTGTTGGTCATGGGGATTTTGTGTGGGAAGTTTGGCCGAATGCTGTCATTGGTAGGGTTCAGAATGCTCTTTAATTGTAGGTGAACTATAAATCCCAAAAACTTCAACTCCCAAATGTCAATGTCTCTTTTTCCCTAACTCCACCAGTGTTCACATTTGGGCATATTGAGTATTTGTGCCAAGTTTGAGTCCACAGTGCTCTCTGGATGTAGGTGAACTACAACTCCAAAACTCAAGGATGATGCCCATCAAACCCTTCCAGTATTTTCTGTTGGTCATGGAAGTTCTGTGTGCCAAGTTTGGTTTAATTCCATTGTTGGTAGAGTTCAGAATGCTCTTTAATTGAACTATAAATCCAAGCAACTACAACTCCCAAATGACAAAATCAATCCCCCACCCCCCCAAAACTTAACAGTATAAATTTGGGCGTATGGGGTATTTGTGCCAAATTTGGTCCAGTGAATGAAAATACATCCTGCATATTGGATATTTACAATTCATAACAGTAGCAAAAATACAGTTACGAAGTAGTAACTAAAATAATTTTATCATTGTGGGGTCACCACAACATGAGGAACTGTATTAAGGGGTCACGGCGTTAGGAAGGTTGAGAACCACTGCTCTAAAACAAAACCTACGCAGAGTGCCGCTTCTCTGTTATTCTGTAAACAGATTTCACCTAAAAGTGCCCTTTAAACCTTAGGAACTATCAGAGTTAGGTGGCTGTATTGACTTCCCAGGGGTCCAAAAGAAATTGCACCAGCTTTCACAGTCTCTTCAGTGCAGCAGTGAATGCTCTCTATGGGCTTGTGTTCTCTCTTTTGGAGGTGAAGAAGCTCTGGAAAGGCAAAGCCACAGTGTTAGGGAGTACAAGTGGTACCCAACTGTGGGATGAATCAGACAGGAGAAAAATTATGCTTTTAGTAACTTGTTCCATACAGCTTTTGTCACATTATGTTCAATTCACAAAATGCATTCCCTAACACTATTCCCAGCATGGTCTGCATATATAAAAAGCTGATATTACATTCATATTTGCTCTAGTTATTTTCCACTGTATACGTGTTTCATTATATCATTAAAATGCGCTGTTTTTCTGCATCTTGTGATTTGTCGGTGTGCATATTCAGTTATTTGTAGAATTCTTCACTTGCCTTGTTTCAGAACTAAGCGTGATTGTGGACCTCTCCATAGGTTCTTTTGGTGCTGGGCACTAAGATACATTACGGCCAGAGTACACCTTTTATTTGTGATAAATGACATTGTATAATGTTTTTATGGATAACCTCAATGGCCTGAGGCCCAAGGAATTTTAATTGTACCTGTCGTATTAAGTTTGTTGTAATGTGTTGTAATGTGTTCGTTTATGTAATGTGCTATTTGTTTATCTGTTTTATTTGGGGTTGTGATGTTGTGCTTTTTGTATCATGTAATTCCTGTTGTTTTAACCATTGTTTGCCTCTTTGAATCCCACCCATTGGAGAAAAGTGGGATAAAAATAAATAAATAAAGGTACATAGTAGATAAGCTTCTCAGCAGCTTTGCTGATAGGGTCCAGCATTTTCTCATAGCCAACATTAGAAGTAGCTGCAAATTCTTCCCAGTCTCTCCCTTGTCAGTTATCAAATTCAACATTGCTAGAATATATGGATATACTCTTGCCACCCATTTGCCAAGTTTTTTCAAGCCACAGGAGACCTGGGGCTTGTGTGGTTTCAGAAGTGGCAGGTGGATGTGACACAGTTTTCCCACTCTTCCCATAAAGGTAGAGGAGGTTGAAGAAAAGCTTGTCCTGTCCTACTTTCCTCTTTTTGTTCTGTAATTGAGGAGAGTGGATTTGGAGGTCAGTAACCACCTTCATGTTCACATAAGGATGTTAGCCTTCCCAGTTTAATAAAAAAATAAAAGTGACGAGAGAACATTCAGCAGGCAAGGTTCAGGTACATGTAAGGAAATAGTTTCATAAAAGTGGCTGTGTTAGTTTCTAGCATCTTAAAAAGGAGGAAGGAAGGAAGAAAAAAATACAGCAAACAAGTTGGACATAAAGGTGCTGCTACATTCCTTCCCTGCTTCCTCTTTTTTATACATTTAAGAACAGAGGGTATAGGAAAGCTTTGTTTTAAGTAGGGTTGTAATATGTTAATCCGCCTGCTTGAGTAGATTAACCATCTGGAGATATAGTTAGTTTAGTGAAGGTCAGTTTTAATCAGTGAAAATAAATTACATTGGTGATACAGCTAATGATCTTTTCAGAAGGGTGTTTTGGTTTTGGCTTGTTACCATAATGATACTAAGCAGAATGACTAGTTTTTTCAGGAAATGTTTTTTTCAGGAAATGTTAGCCTTTGTATATTGTATTGTGACTTAATTTGCAAATCTGTATTTTTATATGTACAGACATGTTTAATTGACAACTCAGATTTAATTAATAACTGATTAACTCCTTATAAATACCAGTAGCTTAAGACAGAGAGGCTTAATTAAAGATCTAGCAGTCTTAGTAGTTTGGGACTCTCAATAGCTCCCTGTTCTTTGACTGTAAGTAGCAAAACCAACATACACTGTGCTAATTCCTCTATAGGTTGCATAATTCAGATTCATTATGCAAAATGAGGATTTCCTTGGGATAGAACTTCATATATAAAATACACATTATTCTTCTACTCCTGTCTATAAAACCTGTTTAGAGTTTTTTTTGGTCAACATTTACTTTGATTAGGTATAATTGAAGACAGCCCTGGCTACACAGTTATAGCTTTGGACCATTAATTAACAACAACCACAACAACAACCACAACAAAAGAAGCATCAAAAATCAGTGTATTCTCTTCCTTTCTTCTTTTTGCAGGTATTGTTGGTGAGGCTGATGAAAATGGTGAAGATTACTATCTCTGGACATATAAAAAACTTGAAATAGGTTACAATGGAAACAGAATTGTGGATGTGAATCTTACTAGTGAAGGGAAAGTCAAATTGGTTCCCAACACCAAAATCCAGATGTCTTATTCTGTAAGTAATTTAAAAGATGTTTTGTCAAAGGTAGAAGTGAAGATTAGTTACCTTGGGTTGTGCAGAGTATGAGTGTTTTTGTGGTCCCAAACCTCTCTAGACTCTGCCAGCTCTTTTCTGGCTCAAAAAAAAAAGAGATTGAATTGTTTCTTCTGAAAGGCCCCAGGAGGAGTATTTCAGCTTTTTAAATAAGTTGCTGCCTCATGGTGCACTGTTTAATATTTGGTTTGGGGGGGGGGGGGGGGGGGGGGGGGATCAAAACCAGAAATGAACTTCTGGCTACTTCCTGTTTGGGATTAGGTTTTCTGGGGGCATTTTTGGCACTCTGTGTAGCCAGGTTATGGTTCGTGGTTCCTTCAAAAGACTGGAAAAGGGTTTCCATTACAGCCTAGCATTGGGGGCTAACTAATATATTCCTTCCCTCTTTCCCATGAATTGTGTGAATTAGACTTTGGGCATTAAAATATATAACCAAATAATTATTGTAATTCCTTTTTGAAATCAAATTAAAATATTTGTTCTCGCCCTTTCCTATGCCCACCATTGTCTTTTGGGTTTCCCGACCAATTTAGACTTTCTATATCCACACCTTGGAAGGAATGCTAGATTCGTAAGGGTACCCGGATCCTATGTTTAGGACCTGACATGTTCTATGTTCAGGATTTGCCATCTTGGAGATGTTCATGTATTCCTGTTGCTATGTCTTATTTTTATATTCAACTGTAAAACTATATTTATCCTTTTCATTGTAAGTATCAGGATGATAACACATACTGGCATCTCCTGGGCACGTCTCTGCAGATGGCCAGTTCTCTCACACCAGAAGCAACTTGCAGTTTCTCAAGTCGCTTCTGACATGATTTTTAAAAACCCAGCAAATTATAGGATGGAAATCCCTTCACAGTGAAATGTTATCCTCACTGTTTTTACCTTTTTTAAAAAGCATGCCCTATTTAGTTCTTTAGTGTTGAACAGGGAGTGCTGGGAGATGACAACCTATGTTGCCATATCTCAGCTGCTAGTCTACATAGACAATGCAAAACTCGTGTGTGTGTGTGTGTTTTACAAAGATACAAGCCTGCAAAAGCAACAATAGATAATTGGCACTCTCCATGACAATTTGTTGTTGAAAGCATAGGGGATAAATCCATAAAAAGAGACCTGTGACCAGCAGTTTCCAATTTTGCAAAGTTAAGAAGTGATCTCAGGCTCCAGATCTGGAGAATCCTGCAGAATTTTGGCTTGTTATTTAAGCCACTATTACAGTAGCTTTTATTTACCATTTGAGCCCTTGGTGGCTCAGTGGGTTAAAGCGCTGAGCTGCTAAACTTGTTGACCAAAAGGTTGCAGGTTCGAATGCGGGGAGCGGTTTGAGCTCCCGCTGTTAGCTCCAGCTTCTGCAAACCTAGCAGTTCAAAAACATGCAAATGTGAGTAGTTCAATAGGTACCACTCTGGCGGGAAGATAACGGTGCTCCATGCAGTCATGCCGGCCACATGATCTTGGAAGTGTCTACGGATAACGCCGGCTCTTCGGCTTAGAAATAAAGATGAATACAAACCCCCAGAGTTGGACACAACTGGACTTAATGACAGGGAAAAACCTTTACCTTGTTTAGCATTATGTCCAGACCTGACCAGAGGTGACACTCTGGCTTGTTTCTCCCACACACACCAGTAAACTAACCTTTAAAGAAGCCACAAATTGTTCTCTTAATGCTGAGACAAGACACAGACCCAAGAGATGGCGCCTGCCAGGTTCATGCTAAACAAACTGCAGTCTGTGGTTTGTTTTGTGATCAAGGACTATGTATGAGTATACTGCCTATACACATCAAGGCAAGGTTCTAGTGTGATGTCTGCACTCATTTATCTTGAACTGGGGCTCTGTAGATTCATAATGTAATATTGTATGAATTATATCCCATGGTTATGGATATTATATTTTCAAATATAATTTCTTCCTAGGTGAAATGGAAAAGGTCAGATGTGAAGTTTGAAGATAGGTTTGACAAGTACCTTGACCCCTCTTTCTTTCAACACAGGGTATGTTTTTTGTTACTCATTGTATGTTATTGATCTGTTTTTTTTATTTGTATCCTAGTCTTTCTTACAGAAGCCCAGGGCAGATAATAAATACCATACATTTATATGCTTATTGTATTTATTATGCAATCATAATCAGCATTTTCAGTTCTTAATTAGGGTCAAGAGAATTGTAAAAAGTAGTAACAAAGTTGTCATATAGCTGGTGGGAAGGGGATGATGCCATCATAAAGGGTACAATTGCATCTGTTTTAAAACTTATTTTTAAAATGTCTTGTGCAATGTGGAGAGTTAATTTTGAATATATAGAGGATGTAACACATATACTTAAGAGTGCTCTCCACTACAAAGATCTTGAATAGTAATTTGTGCATCCAGTTTTAGAAGATTTTATATCAGAATATACACATCTTCTCTCAAATATAAAAATATATTCAGTGTATGGAAATATTTTTTAAATTTAAAAATAAAATTTATAATATGGTGTATTCATTTGTCTCTTGTATTCTACACATCCCAATACTTGATTACAGAGTTACAAAATGTGTGTGTGTATGTTCATCAGATCAAAGCCATAATAAGGTGTTGAACCTAATTATCTAATTAGTTTGATGATCAGGTTCAAAACAAACATTTTAGATTTCACATTCTACAGCCACTTTGAGTATCAGATTATGCATCTCATAATGGGAAGAACAGTGTTCTGTTAGTAGGAGAGGAAACTCAGACCACTTTAAATACTTCAGAGAGCAATTATACTTTTTAATCTTATGTTTTTGTTTGTTATAGTTGGCTGCCATTGTTAGTAAAGTAGTCTAATAAAATAAAAGGAAGAATGGGCGACCCTTGCTTGTACAACTGTGATTTCCTTAAATGTGGAGGTTATATAGTTTGATAGCAATCCTGTAACATTTTTCATATCTAATCTTAAAACTATATCTCTAAAGTCTTTGAAGTGCCATGCTATAGTTAAAATGCTTCACAGTGTGAGAGGTCTCCGAGCCTCTTTCTTCCAAGAGATGGTTGAATGCAACCTGCATTTTACACAGGAATATTTGATTTCAGTTTATAGGTGATTTTTTAAAAAAAAATAAACATTAACCACATTTCATATTTTTAATAGATTCATTGGTTTTCAATCTTCAATTCCTTCATGATGGTCATTTTCCTGGTGGGCCTGGTTTCTATGATTTTAATGAGGACACTGAGAAAAGATTACGCACGATATAGTAAAGAAGAAGAAATGGATGATATGGTAATCGTATTTTGTTTAACTCTTTGTGTTTTTAACTGATTGTCAGAAAATGGCTTTGAGATGCAAGTGTGGCCTCTCAGCAGTTTTCACATAGGGTATTGCCTCATACTATATCAGATATTTTTCCATCTAGTCTCTCATTGTCTACATTGACCATTAGTGGCTTTTCTTTGGCCCCTTCCACATCTGGATAAAATCCCACATTTTCTGCTTTGAACTGGAATATATGGCAGTGTGGATTCAGATAACCCAGTTCAAAGCAGATTTTCTGCCCTGATATTCTGGATTATATGGATGTGTGGAAGAGCCCTTTGTCTTCTTTGCAGATTCTAGTAACTTTTTTCATGTCAGGAGCGATTTGAGAAATTGCAAGTCGCTTTTGGTGTGAGAGAATTGGCTATCTGCAAGGACATTGCTCAGGGGGTGCCCAGATGTTTGATGTTTTAAAATCCTTGTGGGAGGCTTCTCTCATGTCCCTGTATGGGGAGCTGGAGCTGACATTGGGAGCTCAACCTGCTCTCTCCGGATTTGAGCCGCTGACCTGTCAGTTAGCAGTCCTGTCAGTACAAGGGTTTAACCATTCCAGTAACTGAACCTTCTGGAAAAGTGTGTTTAGATTCTATTTGCATTTAGCTTTTTCCAAAACCCTCTAGCCCCATGTCAACATCAAAAAATTGTAGAGCTGTTATCTGTCTATTTATGAAAATGATTTTTTGTCTCAGCCATTAATTTGGTCTTTGATTAATACATTTGTGTTGTAATTTTAACTTAATGAGTTCTTTATGTCATCTGGAGGATCTAAATATAAAGAGAAGCTCATCTGCTTTTATAAACATATGTCTTTTTGAGAGAGAAAAAAAACACTTCTTGGCTAACATCCTGTTGATTAGTCCCAGCTACAGTAGACCTATTGTAAAATGGTGAGTCAGTATGTAGGTAAATGTTGATTAAATGGTCTATTCTAGTCTAACAGGATTTAGTTTCTTTTTCGTTAATATTTACTTAACTGTGCTCAACCTCTCTTTGGTGATTAATTTCAAACTTTTTTTGCAGGATAGAGATTTGGGTGATGAATATGGCTGGAAGCAAGTCCATGGAGACGTCTTCAGACCATCTAGTCATCCTTTAATATTTTCATCCCTTATTGGTTCTGGCTGCCAAATCTTTGCGGTGTCTTTCATTGTGATCATTGTTGCAATGCTGGAGGACTTGTACACAGAGTGAGTGATTTATTTTTCAATTTCATCATTGCTGTGATCCAGCAAATTGACTTACTTGTATGGTTATTTTGGAATTCTTTCAAAGTTTTAACATGTGGTTCCTATTGGAGCAATTGCTTTACACTTAGTAGATAAGAGGCACTACTTTTAATTCTCACTATACTTATGCATCACAACTAATAGTTATTCCCTAACACTACTCAGTTTTATTATACTCTACTCAGTGATGTCTTTCAAAGATCAGGTAGAGAAGCTTCCTGGGGTGTTGACTGTTTTAAGACTTGAATTTAAAGCGGAACATAGGACAGTCTTAGAACTTGCAACCATTAAGATAATTGGATTTGTTTTGTGGGTTTAAAAGCCATGTTCCTGATAAAAGGGTTGGTGGCTAAACGTCTCTTTTGAGCACAAACTCAGTGAATGGTGGTTGGTCATTTTGGAAAAATAATATTCACAGATTTTATAAATGCTCCATTTCTGCATTTTAATATAAACTTTTAAAAAGCTGTTATTTTGGTCTCGTTCTCTGAATACATGACCTTCTACCAAACATTTTTAGCTAATGGTGTAGAATGCTCAAGGAAGCTGCCATTTTAAATTCTGATAAGATAAATCACTGAACCTACCTGAACAGACTCATTAGTTTTAATGCCCCCTATCAAAACTTTGAAGTGGTTTGACTGATCAAAACAATCTGAACATTCAGTCAAATTAAATGTATTCAATTTGTTTTTTTATGTTTATCGTTCCTTTGTGAAAAGAGGCGTTCATTAGCCCTGAAAGTTGGGATCATATGTAATGCTTCTGTTTACTCTGCTTTGGAAAGCCCACCCCAAATCAGGTTTGACCTGGAACGTGAAACATTTAACAAACCCTTCCTATCTCCTCCGAGCAATGTTCAGTCATTACTTCCTTTCTCCCTTTTAGACCAAAGTAGGTGACATAAAAGACCAAGAAATATTAAACTAGTAACACGTGCAGAGAAAAACAATGGTTTCCCCAGTTTGTGGAAGACAAAAACTTAGCCAAAATAAATCACAAATTATATTTGTTAGCAAGTAGGGGAGTTAATGGGCATGAAGAGAGGACAATAAACAAGCCAGATATGAGTAACAATTTCATTGGTGAGTTTATATTACCTTTGGCAGCACAGCTAGCTGTTGGATAGGCCCATGATAACATTTGCTAATAGAATTGTTTAGCTAAGAAACAAAGATGTGGGTCTCGGAAACTCTGTTGGATTTCTAGCTGGCAGACTAACTGGGGAAAGAACAAGATCCCTGGATTATATGACAAAAGCCAACACATGGGATGGAAAGGCTCTATAGGTCAGGCCGTTTTTAGTGCACCAAAAATCAGATGTCAAAAATATTCAATACAGTATAACAGTCCAACCATGAAAAAAGAAGCATAAACCAATGTTAACAAGCTACTTCACACTGAGTTAATGCGATGCTATTTGTGACTGATGCGAGTGCCTCCATATTTAAATAAGCAATTCACATGATGCACACCAATATTTGAAATCATTGGATACCATTCCCATGACAACTACTACCATTACCTTTCTATCATGCCACAAATGTGACAATTTAAATTTGTTCTAACTCAACCACCTCTTGAGTATTCCTTGCCTAAAAATCCCTTAAATCCATAAGTTGAGAGGTGACTTTAAGACACACACACACATATTGGCTGTTGAATTTTATACTTGGGTGTTTTGTATATATGTGTGTTTGTGCGCAAATGCATTCATGTCCTTCAGCATAGTTTTAATGCTTCTGATATAAAAATGTGATTGTCTAAGCCATTAACTCGTATAGTACTTTCAATAGTTAACATCTTTTATGATGCATCATACTGGCATTTTCAGGCAGATAGTTTATTTTCTTTTTGTTTTCTTGTGGCCCATCTCATTATTGTCCTCATCGTCCTCCTCTTCCTCCTTTTTAAAAAGTAACTAAAACTAAACAATCAACTCTTATACTGTAACTGCTGTAACATTTTTCCTTTCGTAGACTTCAGACAATCATTTGTGTAGCCAAAAATACATGTCTTTCATTTTAGGAGAGGATCAATGCTAAGTACCGCTATTTTTGTTTATGCTGCAACATCCCCAGTGAATGGCTACTTTGGAGGAAGCCTTTATGCCAGGCAGGGAGGTAAGCCTTATCATTCCAGTTTTTGCTTGATAATATTAAAGATAATAAACAATTAACCTTCCCCTACTTTAGGGATAGGGATTGTTGGGATCATCCGCAGTATTAATCCTGTTTTAAATTTTCTGATTTCTGAAATAATCTAGTGCCAATCAGGTATGTGTTGGTTGACTACTGTAATTATTTTACAGAATAAACTGACATTATGGTCACAATGTAATGTTTCAAATTATCTCACAAGAAAGTGAACACATCTAAAAGTCTATATACCATATATACTCGAGTATAAGCCAACTTTCTCAGTCTTTTTTTTAGGCTGGAAAAGCCCCCTTGGCTTATACTTGAGTCAACGTTATTATTTTACTCTGTAATTATTATTTTATTACATTTATTATTTTACTCTATTATTATTAAATTTATTATTTTATTCTAATATTGTTACATTTATTATTTTAATCTATTACTGTTAATACATTTCCATTATTTTTCCATTATTATTATTATTATTTTCCGCTATTATTAGTAGTACATTTACATTGAAGAAGGTTAGAATAATAGTTTAATCAGAGTTGGACAGTCTTAAATTACAGTTTTATGTATATTCAAAACATTTAACCTACTGATGCCTCAATGTAATTTTATTGGTATCTATTTTTATTTTGAAATTGACCAATAGCTGCTGCATTTCTCACCCTCGTCTTACACTCGAGGAAGTATGTTTTCCCAGTTTTTTGTGGTAAAATTAGGTGCCTCAGCTTATATTCGGGTCGGTTTATAGTGGAGTATATTGGGTAATTGTTCAGAGTTTGCAGTGATGCATAAGTTGAAGGAGGGAGAACAAAAATAGTGAGACCATCACCCAGAGAGACAGGTTTCCTTGAGATGCTAAATCAGAAGACATTTCTAATCTGCTTGAGTACAGGGTCTCTTAAGAAGGATAGTTTGGCTTCCTCAGGCAGCATTGTAGTTGTCAAAGCCTCCCTTCTATACCCTACCCCCAAAGCAACATCACTCTTGTCTTTTCCAACAGGACTGATGGACTTTCCCCACATCCCAGTTTCTTAATCGTGCTGGTAGCCTGCTGCTGGTGCAGTCTATGCAGGCCCAATTAGATTGGCATACATACCCAACACTAACTCAGCCATAATCTCCAGACTTCATCCATCTATATTCTCAACCATCTCCAGACTACTGTCAGTTGTCCCAATGCCCTTATTTAGATGTGGCATCTTGTATTGGATACAGTTTTGCAGATGGCACAAAACAAAGCAGAAATCTTACTTCCTAGACCTGGACACTATGCTTCCCTTATTCTATCCTACAGTTGCATTAGGACTTTTCATAACTGCATTTTCACTATTAGCTCATGATTTCAGCCCACCAAGAAACTCCTCATATATACTGTTGCCAAACCAGTTGTCCCTATCGTCTTCTTTTAACTCCTACTATTTGTATCATCATCATCATCATTATAATCTGTATAGCACTGTTAGTATACATGGCACTTAACAGCAACAAAAAACAACCAGCTTGCAAAACGTGTAGTCTAAAATATGATTCATATATACATAACCATATTCACGGCTTTGCATTTTTCTGTTGAATTCCATGTTAGTTTCAGCCCAAAGTTTTAGCCTCTAAAAATCAATTTGATTCTAGGTTTTGCCGTCTCTCATGTCTCCCTGCCCAACTTCATTTTGTCAGCTGATTTGATAAGTGAAATTTCACTCTGTAATCCAGCTCTGTAAAAATGTCAAACAGCACAGAACCAAGAACAGAATCCTTTTACATAGTACTCCATATATATATATATACATAGCCATCAGTGAGAATGCTGTCAGTCATCTAGCTCTGAATCCACTTAACAAGACTACAGGCAGTCCCCAAGTTTCAAACATCCAACTTACAAACAACTCTTAGTTAAGAACGGGGGTAAAACAACAGGAAATGAGATAAATCTACCCCTAGGAAGGGAAATTCACTCTTGAAAGGGTTATCATGGGGAAAAGGGGTCTCCACTGAAGCTTTCTGGTTTGTTTCATGGCATAAAGGAATAGGACATTACATGGGTTTTAACTGGTATGTTTTTAATTTATGTTGCTCTTTTAGTTCTCATGGGAAATGGGAATTATTAATGTTTTAGTGTCTTAAATTGTTAATTTCTCATTCGTCGGGGTTCATGTTTGTATTTTTTGTTTGTAATTGTCTTGATTTTACATGCTGTACACTGCTTTGAGACCCATCGTGGGAGAAAAGCGTGATATAAATAAATAAATTCTCACCAATCCTTGTTTCCACAATAAGCCAAAATTTTAAAAATCCAATTATGAGAGGGACAGGAAGTGAGGTGAAATGTTCTGAACAGGGGCCCAGACAAACTAACATTGTGGGGGTGTCAATCCATCCCTAAGCAATCCAAAGCTACACACACACACACACACACACATATTTGGCTGGAGTTACACTTTAAAAATATACCTGTTCTGACTTACATACAAATCAACTTAAGAACAAACCTACATAACCTGCCTTGTTTGTAACATGGGGACTGCCTGTATAGTATTTTACTGTTTGTGGATATTCTTACATACATAACCATTTCACTTGCTAGAGACTACAGAGGTAAGCAAGATGTCTTTACTGTCTTGTACAAAAGTCTTGATACTATCTTGTCGGACACCTGGAGAGTCCTAAAATTAAATTCCTGGAATAAATACCTAAAGATGTTCTGTAACTTTGAAATGTTCTGCTTGTTACTAATCCAGTAAAGAATAATAGTAGGGCTGTCATTACTGAAATTATTACATTTCAGTCAGAGTGATTTACAGTCAGATTAACTGACTGATAAATAATTTGTATTTTAACATTCTCTTGCCAATATTTTTTGTACTTTGACACATTCAGAAAGAGCAAATTATATCATTGATAAATTATTTTTATATTATCTGAAGGAGCTGCAACAGCTGACATTGAGATGCCAAAATTGTTGCAAACTGGGGAAAAGGACAGAAGGAATTGCAGTTAGAGAGAAAAGTGGAGGCTTAGATGGCTGGTAACAAAAGCAGGACAGACATAGTTACATTGTACTGTACTGTAATGCCATGTGGTCCAGTGAACAAGAAACATTTACTTACCTGAAGAGTCCAATTCTGACATGGAGTTTCCTTCAACGTTTTATGAAAAGATACAGAAACCATTTGTTTGAGCTCCTTATACTATTACAATATTATTTCTTGTGACAAGCTTTTCTGCAAGAAAATTCCTTGAAAGTAACACTTCAAATGCAATCCTGTGCTTATACAGAAGAAAAATTGGTCTGTAGATTGTGATCTGTCAATCATTTCTGCCTAAATGTGTCAGACATACCTGAATGACGACACTAATACAGAGGACCCCCATCCCTGGACTACCCATGGATAACAAAATCCAAGGGTGCTTAAGTTCAATGATATATAGTGGCATACGAAAATGGTGTACAAAATCAAAATTTGGTTTTGGATTAAAAATATTATTTTTCAAGAAGTGGATATTTTGAATCTATGAATATGGAAAGTGATTACTGTTCTCCCCCACCCAATTTAAAAAAACCTCTTAATAGCCTTATGTATACTAAATGTATACATAAGGCTATTAAGAGTATCTAATATCTAAATAACAATCCAGCTATTTGTTAAGTGACGTCTCATAATACAGTACTTTAGGGGCTGTAGTGGATAACCTGAATCTCAGATGAATTGACGTTTGCTTCTTTGCAGGAAGGCGGTGGATAAAGCAGATGTTCATTGGGGCATTCCTTATTCCTGCAATGGTGTGTGGTACTGCCTTCTTCATTAACTTTATTGCCATTTATTATCATGCGTCAAGGGCTCTTCCTTTTGGAACAATGGTGAGTACTTTAATTGTCACTACTCATTGAACTTATTTAAATGCATAAAGCAGCTATATATTGACTTCAACTGTTCAGAATAGGTGGACATTTGAATGTGAAATTTTAGATTAAATCAATGCCAAAGCAGGAAACTTTGGTTTAACAATTAAACCCTAACCATTTAGCTCCAAATATATTATTTTGATTAAAATTGGGAACTTAATTTTTGTCACAGTTACAATGTTGTGAAGGATACAGAGAGAATAAATCTTTCATGGATCAGCCACATAAAACTCGTCCTTATTTTAATTGCATTTTTGTTTAATATTGGATCACATTCACCAGCAATTGTATGATTTATCATTTTTGTAATACGTTTAGTTTTTATTTGCCATTTTCTAAAGATAGGTTTATAGCTGTTGGTAGATTAGTAAAGTACAAAAATAGCTTTAAAACCTGACATTTTAATTGAAAATCATATCTTTTTATTCCCTAAAGTAGAGCAGTTAGTTTAGGAATGCTTCTGAAATGCAGTGTCAAGTTCTCTACAGCAGGCCGCCTTAAAATTTTCCACCCCTTTTGGCCTGAGAAATTTTATGTGACCCCAGGTTTAGAAGTATATAAAATAGGCATAAATACCAAAACAATTTACCAACAACAAATCAGCATTTATAACGCTTGCCAAACATTATGATTTTTCTTTTTGTGAAGCATCTCCTACAGTGTCCACTTGTAAACGGTAAACACTACACAACAGATTCATGTAAATGTCTAAAACAGCCAGTAGATGATAGAAAACTTTTACTGTTGCCCAATTTTTCGGTACCCAAACACTCTTTAGTGTGGGCTCAGTTTCCCAAGGGAGCCTTTATTAACAGAGTCATGTGTGAAGGCAGTTGTAGAAGGACAGCCACGACAGTGTCATAGATCAGCCTGAGACTGATGAGTTCACTGATTTCTAGAGAGGATTGTGGGCTTTCCAGAGGCACAAAGTGATGAAGATTTAAGTCAAGGGAATAATGCTTCTTTTAATGAGAAATCTGACTGGGAATGTGCAGGCCTTCAAGGTCAATCAAAGCAGCCAGAGACATTAGATAAGGAGGAGTTGAGCAGAGAATTAAGTGATGCAGAAGGCTCCCAGGAAAAAGTACCTGGAGATACAGAAATCAGCACAGGCCTTGGTTTACAAATTGGAGCAGACAATAGGCATCACAGAGCAGGGCGTTTCTTTGGGAAAGTTGGAGAGAGATTTCATGGGAAACTAAATGCTTTAATGGGTGGCTTTTAATTGGCAAGTTGTTTACTTTAAAGTTAGTTCAGGCAATGTAGCGTTTGGAGTAAGAAGCTAGACCTGAGCTCCTGGTTCATGTTTCTAGTTAAGCCTTTAGTTTTGGGATTCAGGTATATTGGAAGTTTCTACGTTTCTGTTTTTGTATTCGTGATCAAGTTTTACTAAGTATACCTTTGCTTGTGGACTTAAGCTATTCGTGTGATTTTTGGCTGTTCCTGACCTGTATGAGACATTGGGTTCCTGTTGGATTTTTGCTTATTGCTAAACCATTTTGCATATACCTCTTCTTTCTCTATTCCTTAATTTTTCCTATATTTTTATATATTTTACAATATGTCAAAGGCTCATAGGGGTTTCCAGGCCTGGGGTGCAGCATTCAGAGGTTAAGTTATAAACTCAGGAGCTTCTCTAGAAGGAATGGAGAAGTTATATTATTGCTCCACAGTTGAAATAGTTGGTGGTGAGGGACTTTTGACAATATTGTTTCTCTGAGAGAATATATTTTACTGTTACTTATCTGAGTAGATAAAAGAGGTATATGTTACAATTAACATTTTGTAAAAGTTGCATTTTACATATTCTCTTTTTGTCCTCTGTGTTTACAGGTGGCCGTGTGCTGCATCTGTTTCTTTGTTATTCTTCCTTTGAACCTTGTCGGCACAATACTTGGGCGAAACCTTTCAGGTCAACCTAACTTTCCTTGTCGAGTTAATGCTGTCCCTCGTCCAATCCCAGAGAAAAAATGGTACAGTAAAAAGTAGAATTTCTTAGTATTTGTCTACCCAGTGAAGCAGGTTGTCCATGAAACTATTCATGTATTACTTATATACTGCCCGGGAAGCACACATGTCAGATAAAAAGATAAAATACAGTAGAGTCTCGCTTACCCAACATAAATGGGCCAACAGAACGTTGGATAAGCAAAAATGTTGAATAATAAGGGTGGATTAAGGAAAAGCCTATTCAGCGTCAAATTATTTATGATTTTACATATTAAACACCAAAACATGGTTTACAACAACTCAACAGAAAAAGTAGTTTAACACATGGTAACGTTATGCAGTAATTACTGTATTTACGAATTTAGCATCAAAACATCGCAATATATTGAAACAGCTGTTGATCCAGGTGGGGGGCAGACTGTATTGGATAATACAGAGTGTTGGATGAGCAAAGATTGGATAAGCGAGACTCTATTTGGTTCTTCTTGAAAGCCTTCGTGAATAAATTGCAGGTGACGAGCTGTATTCCAGAGCACTGGTCACTTGCACAATTATACACAAAACATGAATATACAGATAACACATTTGTTCTTTTAAATGTCAAAAACATGTCTGGGTCAACTAAATAAGTAATACTTTCTCAAATAAATATTTTTAACATGCATTAAAAATTAAAGGTTATTGGAGTATGTTGAAATTCTGGTGAAAGAGCATTCCTCATATTAGGTGCTTTTATACCGAATGCCTTGTTCTGAACAACTGTCTATCCAGATTAGTTTTAAAAGACATATAGGAACCACACACCCAAGCGTTCTTGCTAGAATTCAGTTGCTTCCACCTCTGCATCCATGCACTGCTCCAAAATATGTGCTGCTCTCCCTAATTCAGTATTGTGAACTTTGCTTGATCTCACTGAGTTTCCATTTTTTAACACTCTCCATTGTTTTGGATTACATTGGATGATCAACTCTTATTTTCTTTCCAGGTTTATGGAACCAGCTGTTATTGTTTGCTTGGGTGGGATTCTTCCATTTGGATCCATTTTCATTGAAATGTAAGCCTCTTACTTTGATAAGTTTTCAAACTTTTGCATATATTTTTACTTCTAATGCTAATTTAATTAAAGGTGTTTGCATGCAATGAACATTCTTCTTTGGTCTTTAGGTATTTTATATTCACCTCCTTCTGGGCTTACAAGATCTATTATGTTTATGGCTTCATGATGTTGGTGCTGGTTATACTCTGCATTGTAACTGTGTGTGTGACAATCGTCTGTACATATTTTCTACTGAATGCAGAGGATTATAGGTGGTAAGTGTTGTAACTTATTTCTTTGGTTTATTAGGTGTCTGTTTCAAAGAAAGAGTACATTTAACACTCTTAAGATAATAAAAGGGTTTTAAAAAAAGCAATAAAAGTAGTGTACTTGTAGTGCAGTGGTGATAATTCTAGGCTTTTAAAACCATGTGCCACCAATATGTGGAAAAAGAAAAGCATCTAGACCTGGCTGCAAAAATATGGCTACCTTAGGGCCAGGCAGGCCTTCCTGAGAAGAGAGCTGAGTGGGATGGGGGATATAGATCTCAGTCTTAAACTATATAATATTTTATATACATAATTTTAATTACTGTTCATTTCTAAAGGCATTGAAGAAATTTCAACACATATTACTATTGTGTGTGAACAAGAGAGAACTGGAAAATTGTAGTTCAAGAAGAGCACAGCCATAGAGACTAGAGAATATTTAGACACAAGAAAAATGTAAAATATTTTTACAAAAGCTGCAAGAAGTATTCATGCTGATTTGTTTTTTCATGTAAGGGGAGAATAGGACATTCAGTTTTAATCAAAATAAAAAAAACAAATATTCATGTTTAATGGTTGTCAAAAATCATCTTAAACCGTTTGGTAGATGAATTGTCTGTTCTAATGGTTTCTTTGTGTTTTTCAGGCAATGGACAAGTTTTCTATCTGCTGCTTCAACTGCAATCTATGTTTACATGTATTCCTTTTATTACTATTTTTTCAAGACAAAGTACGTTGCTTTTTACATTTTGCGTTTTCATTTTTTAAAATAAGCCTCACAGAAAATGTTCTAGTAATTGGCAACTTGGAGATACTAAAAATCTGCCTGTTTTGCTTTTCCCCCAGGATGTATGGTTTGTTTCAGACATCATTTTACTTTGGTTATATGGCAGTATTTAGCACAGCCCTTGGAATAATGTGTGGTAAGTTCATAATGTATTCAGTATCATACTGTTCTTTCCTTCTAAAATTGAGCCAGTGAATCACTGGATGTTGACTCAGTGGGGTCAACTGCAATTGGGATTAAGCCAATAAGATTTCAGATTAATATATTCAGTTTTTAAAAACTATTTTTTTCTAATTTCTTACCATTGTTTTTAAGTATTTTGGATTTTTTGTAGATCCTTGAAAAATGTTTTACTAATAACTTTCCAGAACTTTGGACAGGAGCTTGAATGCTGCTTGAATCTTAATAAGCTCTAAATGACTAAAGAATATAATTTATTGATTTTAATATATATACTTTCAAAAGAAGGGTATACAACTTTTGATAGTTGTGTTGGTTGTCTTCAGTATGAAGACATAGTTTTTAAAAATCACACTTTCAATGAACTTTTCATGTACAATTAAGAAACATAGAAAAAAAGGAAATACTGATGTTGTCTCCAGTGTGGACCCAGATTGAAATGTAATTGATCATATGTTGACAGCCACAGCTGTCTTGGGACAGGCTTTAGCACAGTGGGTTGAACTACCAGCTGCAGAAAATCTTGCTGATTGAAAAGTTGACAGTTCAACCCTTAGTTGAGGTGAGCTCCCCACCTTCAGCCCAGCTTCTGCTCATCTAGCAGTTCGAAAATAGCAACATGAGTAGATAAATAAGTATCACTTTGGCGGGGAGGTATTTATTTACGGTATTTATATCCCCGCAGGGGACTCAGGGTCGATTACAATGTACATATACATGGTAGACATTCAATGCCATAGACACACAACATATATAGACAGACATGCAGCTATTTTCACCAGGGGAGCTGTTGCTTACCCGTCCATTTGTGACACTGATTACATACTTCCTCATTCTTTGCATGCTTGCTGGAGATTTTTATGGCGTCGTAAATTAGCCTCCCCACATAAGCAGTACCTAAATTTCCTACTTGACAGATGCAATTGTCTTTCGGGCTGCAAAGGTCGACAGCAAGCTACACAAATTGGTCAAAAGCTCACTCCGACCCGGGCTGGCTTCAAACTCATTACCTTTTAGTCAGTCGTGATCTTAATGTAGCTGCGCCACAGTCCCAGAGCATCTTCATTTAACATATTGTACAATATGTTCTTCATTTAACATATTGTATTGTTCTTTCATGTCTTTTTGCACTACAAATAAGACATCTGCAGCGTGTATAGTTCGTTTGTGTCCTTTTCAAACTATAGTTCAACCCTCCAACAGTATATGAGGGCCTTCTGCTTTAAAAAGTTGAGAATCCCTGGCCTAGAGCTTTTGAATGTGTAATAGTTTTCATCGCCTGTACTAGCTCTTTTTAAAAACACACACAAAATGCTTGCTTATACATATTTGTTTGTTTTGCAGGAGCTATCGGCTATATGGGAACAAGTGCCTTTGTTAGAAAAATCTACACCAATGTGAAAATTGACTAAGGAAACTGAACCATGGAGCAGTTAACCTGTGGGGCTGGGGTGGGGACAGAGTATATATAAACTTGCACACCAAAAAGCGCAAGAAGAAAATTGTGTGTTTAACACTGGGCACTCTGTGGGTCTCTCTCTTTCTCTCTCTCTCTCTCTTATGGATCATTTAAAGCAACACCTCCTTTCATTGATCCTCGTTCTTACTGACTTCCTCCAACTCTTCGCAACCAATGCTTGGATTGTATTCAGTAGGTATTTCCACAGTACATGCTAATCCCCTCCCCCTCCCCCCAAATAGCTCAGAAAGATGAAATAGACTAGCTCTCTTCAGTGAAGAGGACAAACTGTATTTAAGCATATGTTACATTCAATTTAAAAGGAAAGTGAAACACATGGATCCTTAAAATATCAAATTAGTTACTGGTACTTTAATTCCTGTTCTGGAAGGATTTCATCACCCCAGGGTTTAGTGCTGTTTGACTGGGTGAAGAAACTCTTGGAAGTTCCAGGATAACTTGCAATATCAGCTGCTTCAAAACCCATGTATTTGTTAAAAACGCAAATGTTTGCATGCAATATCCGTTTAATAGGACCTACTTTCCATTTGCTCATTATAAAAGGAATATCCAGCTATATCTGAGAGCCATCTCAAGAAACTTAAGTACAGAGGTGGAACTCGGCAGTGCAATTTTTGTACAGTCAGCGAGCAGAAATTAAGACGGTGCATTCTGTTTTTATTCAACACCTGGAAGTCTCAATTTAAAATAATAATAATAATAATAATTGAATGTCTGCAATGATTTATTTCTTTTCTTATTTCCTAATTCAACCACCCACCCCCAGTTTGGAGTGTTTACTTGATGATTTAAAAGGGGTAACAAGTGTATAAAACGTTTAATGATGTAACTTAGATGTAGCTCCCAAATGTATTTGGATGTACAGATTTACTAAAGAATACTTTTTTCTGATGATTCAGTGTAAAAAAATGTGTGAATTTAGGTGGCTTTTTACATCTTGCCTGCTGTTGCATGAAATGTCGGGGGGTTTCCTTGCAATATGTGTGTCATGTTTTCTGTTTCCCGGAGCTCTTTCAAAAGCAAATACTTGTAATTTATAACAGTTTAATTTTTTTTTTGTTTAGTTTTCTCTGGACACTTGTGTAATAATACCTAAAGCAGCCCGGCTTCAAGTGTTCATACAATTTAAAATAAAACTTTTCAGACCAATGTTCTGATTGTGAAAAAAAACAGACATATTTGCAGTTTGAAGTTTTTTTAGCAGAACATCAGAACGCCTGATTCTAAGCAAAGCTCTTAATATATTCTTCAGAGGACAAAAGCCAGATGTTTTTTGACACTCCCGATTCAGAGTGCTCTGAACCTCTTGAATATGGGTGAGGAACCAATGATCTCCAGTTAACGTTCGACTGAAGCCCGTATCACGGCCTTTATGCTTGTGACAAATGGGTTAGAGTTCAACAATATCACGAGAAGCACTGGTTCCCAACTCCAAAACAATTGGACTGATGTATGAGATGCTGCATTGCATGTAGTGAAAAGTGGTGGACTAGGGAGACCAAGGGCCGCCATTTTCTGAAAGTTATAAAACTTTGATGCTGCAGAGCCTTCCAAGTTTCTTGTTTTAAAGAAATTTTTCAGGTAAATTTTAGCATGTTTCCTCAAGCAAAGCCCGATACCAAATAAATGAAGGTATCCTCAAAAGGCAAGTAACTGTGAGGAGGATTTGTTAATCCTTAAGCAAGTGAGTGTGTATGTGTGTTGAGTGTAAAACAAAGCGTTGTTTTTCCTAAGGTAAGTTCACTGGAGACTTATTTTCACATTGTGCAAGAGAAATAAATACAATTTTACAGTAAATGAACTGTAGCTGATTATATTCTGTTATATGTGTAGCCAAATTCCATGGTATTCTTCTCCTGTCTAAATGGACAGATATTAAACGATTTTGGCCCTCTGGTTTGGTGATACTTTCAGCTCATTTTACAAAAACGGTTGATTTGGGTTTCAAATTGTGAGTGACATCTGCCAGATGCTATTGCTGTACAATGTATTTTGCTTTTCAGTGAGGCTTGAGTGAATGTGCTGCCCAAACGCTATTGAAACAATTACTGAGGGCACAGCCTCAGTATTTGTCCTCATGTAGCACTTGATGATATGAAGCGGATCGGATTTTAACCCCTGTTTATACGTTTACAGACTGGCCGTTTTACATGGAAATAGTTAGAAGGGTGTCTGAAATTCCTAGTTGTTTTTCATTACTTTAAGAATGATTTTATATTTCTCTCCATTCTTTCCCCAACATCGCCCAAATTGTACAGTCAAAACTGATACCTTAATAAAATGGCAAATTAAGTGGTCTGCCTATTTTGCTTAGTTTTTGTTTATACAGGGATATGTATTCAACCCACCAGTGTTAAAACGGATTATGATAAGGCTAAAAGCAATTACAAAAAGAAAACATCAAGATGAAAGCCTTCGACAGTACATTAAACATCAAGATGGCAAAGCAGTAAAAATAATAGATCAAAAATATGGTTACATGATTGAAACCAATATTACTTTAAAACTTGGGAAAACAAATATTTTTTTACTAAAAACATGTCTGTTTTAAGTGTCAGCTGAGGCTCTCTAAACGTTTGATAGATGGAATGCCACAACTGAATTCTTTTTCTGATTTTCACGCACCTGACCTGTACAAACAGGTCACCAGGAAAAGAGCCTCTAAAGATTATCTCAATATATGGGCAGATTCCCAAGGTTAAGCACTCAGATTATAAGACCCGGCTGGGAAATGTGTGACCTCCCAGAACCTGTCAGGCTGCAGCTCACACTGGCCCAGTATATGATATAGTGAGGCTCGAAAGGAGTTAATCCATCTACTTCTGAAAACCCACACATTCCCCGTTTTAAGTCCCATAGACCAGTGGTACTTAACCTTCTTAATGGTGCGACCCCTTAATACAGTTCCTCGTTTTCTGGTGACCTCCAACCATAACATTATTTTCGTTGCTATTTCATAACTGTCATTATGCTACTGTTATGAATCATCATGTAAATATCTGATATGCAGGATGCATTTTCATTCACTGGACCAAATTTAGCACAAATACCCAATACGCCAAACTCAAATACTGGTGGGGTTGGGAAGGAGGATTGATTTTGTCATTTGGGAGTTGTAGTTGCTGGGATTTATAGTTCACCTACAATCAAAGAGCATTCTGAACTCCACCAACAATGGAATTGAACCAAACTTGGCACACAGAACTCCCATGACCAACAGAAAATACTGGAAAGGTTTGGTGGGCATTGATCTTGAGTTTTGGAGTTGGAGTTCACCTACCTCCAGAGAGCACTGTGGACTCAAACAATGATGGATCTGGACCTAACTTGGCATATGTCCACATGTGAACACTGGTGGAGTTTGGGGAAAATAGACCTTGACATTTGGGAGTTGTAGTTACTGGGATTTATAGTTCACCTACAATCAAAGAGCATTCTGAACCCCACCTACAATAGAATTGGGCCAAATTTCTTACACAGAACCCCCATGACCAACAGAAAACACTGTGTTTTCTGATGGTCTTTGGTGACCCCTCTGAGACCCTCTCGCGACCACCCTAGGGGTACCGACCCCCAGGGTTGAGAAACACTGCCATGGAGCATTAAAACACTCAATACTCAGAATTATGTTTGTTAATTGTGACTGCCATGGTGCTTTAAGAACTTGCAAGATTGCTTTGTCCAGTCTCAGTCACCCACCAGTCGTTCTCTTGAGACAATGTGAAGTGTCCAAAAGGTCTTCAAAGATAATTCTCTGTTTTTGTTCTGTTCTGGTTTTTATTTTAGCCAAAACCGGAAGTGATGGGACAGGCATGATCTTTGGACTTTTTGTGCCATAGTTACGGAGAAGGTATTTGTGCAAGGAGTTCACTGATTGCTATACTCTATATCTCTAAACCAACATTTTCGTTGCCAAGCTTTTTACCTTTTATCAATGGCTCCAAGGAAACGATATATTTTTTTCTTCTGTTTTTGGCGGCTTCAAACTGTTTCAGAGAAAGGCTTGCTATACATGGTGGATTGTCATGCAAGTGCTAGGATTCCCAGTGAAGACCAAGAGCGAGGCTCATGCTCTCCAGTCTTGGATGTTAAACGGGACATCCTGCTTCTGATTCATTAAATTCCTTATGCCTATCCCAGTGAATGGGTTTAGATAGACCCAAGTTTTAACTCTCACCATTCATTGTAGTTAATTCCATAAATTATGTAAATTATTTTTCTACTTTTTGTGTGTGTCAGGAGCGACCTGAGAGACTGCAAGTCGCTTCTGGTGTGAGAGAATTGTCCATCTGCAAGGACCTTGCCCAGGGGATGTCCGGATGTTAGATCTTTTACCATCCTTGTAGGAGGGTTCTTTCATGTCCCCATATGGGGAGCTGGAGCTGACAGAGGGAGCTCAACCCGCTCTCCCCAGATTCAAACCACTGATCTGTTGGTCTTCAGTCCTGCCGGAACAAGGGTTTAATCGATTGTGCCACTGGGAGCTCTTGCCACTCAATTAAATGTCTCTATAGAGTACAAGATTATCGGAGAAATAAAAACCTATTTCCATGTCTCCCTGCATCATGTCCCTTTTGTTGTCTTTCTCCTTGCACTAAAAAGCACCAAATACTTTGAGCCTTTCCTGACAGGGATCACGTTCCCCCTCCTGACCATTTTGGATCTTTCCTTCACCTTTTCCAGTATTTTATTTTGAAAATTGTAGCTAATAAGGTATTTGAAACATTCATGGAGTGCTTGCTTTCTGAACTAGGTTAAAGCATGTTTTATCGCACTGGCTACATGAAATGTAACACCCAATCATCAGACATGAACTCAAATGAAACTGGATGGGCAGGAAATGCCAGAAGAACAATTACTGGTATGTGAAAGGTTGAAAAGATATATAATAAAACACATTGGCATTTTGTAACAGCAGGAGTTGATGGCACAAAGTGGCTGCACCATAATTTGTGAAAATACAACTATGAGGTTGTTTTTGGTTTAATCCTAGAATGAAATGTGCTATGTTTTAAAGTTTTCTTTATCCATTAGATTGCATGTCTATTCAACATTGCAGCCATCTTGACTCTGTTCCCACTTCTGAATAAATTTATCTTGCTAAGTGAAGTTTTAGTTTAAATTTGTGCACCAGCTTCATTGGATGCAAAGTACAAAGCTCTGGTGCAATGGGTTATACCCTTGTGCTGGAAGGACTGAAGACCGGCAGGTTTGAATCTGGGGAGAGCAAGGATGAGCTCCCTCTGGCAGCTCTGGCTCTCCATGCAGGGACATGAGAGAAGCCACCCACAGGGATGGTCAAACATCAAAATATCCGGGCGTCCCCTAGGCAACGTCCTTGCAGACAGCCAATTCTCTCACACCAGAAGCGACATGGGGAAAAATGACCTTTAAAGCCCTACATGGTTTGGGTCCAGGTTACCTACAGGGTCACCTGTTCAATCTACACTTTAGGACACTTAGCATCTCAGGCCCCTTCTATACAACTGTACAAAATACAGATTATCTGCTTTGAACTGGATTATATGGCAGTGTAGAAGGGCCCTCAGCCAGCACCATACATCTCTSAGGATCAGACCAATTTATTTATATTTATTACTCATTCAAGCCATGTCATGTCCCTGTTTAATTTCTCCAGGGCGCCTTAATAAATAAAAACTATTAAAATRTATTAATAAAYTTCAGCTTTGAATAACACAATTTATAAMAAATCAGTACAATATTCAACATTGTTAGAAAACAAATATACAGAWGAAGGTTTAAGATCTAATGATAGCCATGTATACATATGTGAGAGGAAGTCATAAGGAGGAGGGAGCAAGCTTGTTTTCTGCTGCCCTGGAGACTAGGGCATGGAAGAATGGCTTCAAACTACAAGAAAGGAGATTCCATCTGAACATGAGGAAGAACTTCCTGACTGTGAGAGCTGTTCAGCAGTGGAACTCTCTCCCCGGAGTGTGGTGGAGGCACCTTCTTTGGAGGCTTTTAAACAGGGGCTGGATGGCCATCTGTCGGGTGCTTTGAATGCAATTTTACTTCTTCTTGGGAGGGGTTGGACTGGATGGCCCATGAGGTTTCTTCCAACTCTGTGATTCTATGATTCTAATGGATTCAACTACGGATCTCAGGACCCTTCCACACAGCCATATAACCCAGAATATCAAGGCAGAAAAGGTGTAAATGGTTTTGGGTCTTCATGTATAAGCCTGTGATTCCTTACCATTGGTTTAGGTGAATAAGATTGGTGGGAGTAATAGTACAACAATACCTGGAGCCCATGATTGCTCAACCCTACCTTTGTAAGCCGGCCTGAGTCCCTCTTCGGAGGTCGAGAAGACCGGTATATAAAACTTCTAAATAAATAAATAAATAAATAAATAAATAAATAAATTTGTGGCTACGATTTAATCAGGAGATTATAATTTATTGATATTTGTTTAAAATATGTGGTTGTATAACAACATTTTTTTGTTGGAAACTTTGTTCTCTAGGGACATTTATAGATATCACCATGGACGTGATTTTGATTATGGAATAATAGCCAAAAATCTCAGGCTCCATCTGCCACATAATCCAGTTTCTAAATCCAGATGATCTCTGGCAGTATAGACTCATATAATCCAATTCTAAGCAGATAATCTGGATTCAGAAACTGGATTATATGGCAATATAGATCCAGTCTCAAAAGAGTTTTTTAGTTCCAGTTCAGTCAATTCTTGGGATCAGTTATGCACCACAAAATATTAACTATATACATGTTAAAAATCCTTATTATTGTTTGCTAATGCTAGCTGTGATCCCAGAACTTTCTTACAGTCAATGGAATGGTCTCTTGAAATAGAAAATCACCCCAAAAGAAGAAAATGATAAACAGACTTTTTTTTGTTGGAGGCTGA